GAGCTTGGCGCAGCAAGCATCTTTTTGGCAAGATCATGCATTCGAGCACGATCGAACATGTCAAAGGCCATACTGAGACTAAGACCATGTTTGAGGCCAATTTTGAGATGGGTCTGCCTGCTGATGCACTTTGCGGCTAGAGAGAGAGCTTCTTGGTTGTTGCAGAAGCAATTTTCGGTTAGGTCAACACCCAGCAATCTCCCAAACTCTAGACTCCACTGGACCACGATCTTTGCTCCTTCTGCTGAGGGGGCGCGCCCCTTGCGCCGCAGCGCCTCAATGGGATCCCGATCCGAGTTGGCCAGTATGGTGCGCTCCCGAGAGGGGCCGAGAGGGCTTTGGGACATTTTTTGGAGGTGCTGCGGCCCAATTGTGTTTGGTCTAGTTTCTTTGTGTTTACCATCTGGTCGAGCTGGGTCAACCACACATTTACACAGCATGGGACGGTCACATGGGATTTACACATCACAGGCACCTTCGGGTCAGGTTTAATCAAGGAAGGAATTGATTGGTTGCCCCATCCTTGACGGATTCCAATCCTTCTCTTTTGCACTCGGTGCGAAGGATGGCCTGTGACATTTTGACACCGACGCACCGTTTGTCCGGGCTTCTCTGAGCCAACACTTCGAGAAAACAGTATCTACTCATGTGCGCAAATCGCTCAGATGATCCCAACTTGCAGAAGTAGATGTACAAACCAAACCCCCCAAAAAAATACCAGTAGCTTTTGGCGGACAATATAGTTTTCTCTCGGACGCACCGTTTTGGGGAGCCCCTAGCTGTAGCTTTCTTGCGAGGTGAAGCTGCTTAGATTTTCCCCATGGCCGACCGCGCCTGCCAAGCGTTCAGTCCGGCCAGGTGGAACAGTTGACAGAACCCAGTGGCAGCGGATCCTTCAGGATGCTCACGCGCGCAGGAGAGACCTGTGGGAGAGAGACGTTTCCTGGCGGGCCGCAGAGCAGGGATGATGAAAATCCTTCTTGGCTTGGGGTACAGCGGAGTCAAGACCAAGACCCCCACAATCTAGGTTGACACCACTGTATAGTTATTTTTCTGGTAACCCTTTATTTTTGTTTTCATCCACCAGGCATGGCCATCGGGTTCAAAAGAAGGATTTGTTTGCTGCGCTGAATAGAAGGTAGTAACTTTCGGGTTGTTTCCTTGATGCACAAAATCTGGACCACATACTCCTCCTGAAATAAGGAACCTTTCAAACAGTGCTTGTAGTATGGCAATTATATACCTGTTGATTATATAATTTGTAATTTTTCTACTACCAGGGTAGACCAGCTCCCGTACCCGTGTGAAGTCTACAGCCATTGGGTTGCGACTTGCCCTGAGGACTTTGCTTGGCTATTGGAGTGGTCTTAGTGACCGGGTATCACACGCCCGGTGCCTGATCTCCGGGCCAGCAGAAATACAATTATTTCGATTTCTTGCCGATTGATCCAAAGAGTCTTTGGATCTATTGGCAAGACTGCTGAATAGAAAGGTCCCTTAGAGCACCTATTTGGGCTATTGAGGACATATGGTGGTGTAAAGGTTGTTGAGAAGAGACGGATTTGGGGTGTGATATTCACCGGAGAACGCCTCAATGAAAGCAGAGCAGCTCCAAAAACAAAGAGCTTGTCCACAGAGTGGAGAGCTCGGCATATCAACAGAAAGCAGGTGACACCCCAGTGCAGTACTTTAGCAGGGGCAGTACTGTACGGAGTAAAAATAGCTCATATCAAGCAACCAGCGTCTTGTGCTCAAGTGAGTTCTTCCCTTGCATTTGACTCCCCACTTTCGAGAATCAAACGCGCAGATTTGTTTTGTTTAGCTCAACTCAGTTTGGAGACTTCAAAGTTCTACCCACGGCTGGAGTGAGGATCTGCCTTTGTGGCCATTTTTCTCAGTCCAAAGGGACAATCCCAAAGGCAAAAATTAATCGACAGCAAACACCTCAGCCCATGAGACATCAACGGAGTCTCTGCCAAGGCCCTTGTGGTTGGTGCCGTTTGGCATCGTCTTTGAAGGTGTGTCGTTGGCCTGGTTCTACTTGATTCAGAAGGACTTCCGGTAGGGTCAGGGTGACCAGGAAGGCATCTCCGGCATCTCCCTTGTCTTGAGATTCCAATTTTGCCTCTAGGGCTAGTGCTGCAGAATGCACGTGTGGCAAATAAGTGCTGTAGTAGACACGACGATATTGCGCGAGAAGACGACGCCGAGGGGGCATTGGTGCCTCCCAAAACTCAATCGGCTTCTTCAAAGAAAGGATCTACCCTTGGGCAAGACACATTGTTTGAGCGTGGATCAGATATATATAGCAGGAGCACTGTTTGCTAACCTGGAATGCTTTGCAACATAGAAGTCCATGTCGGCAAGACGGCCCGCAGAAAGCCTGAAACCTTTAGTTGGAAGTTTGGAGCTTCCATGTGGACTTGTAAAGACTACAGTACAGGCGGGCTAACATGTTCATGTGACATACGGGCAAACGACTTCCCAAACTTCCCACAATGTTCGATTGGGCCCAAAAACGTGTGCATGTAGCGTAGGCAAGCGAGTCGGGTGCCAATGTAGTTTTGGCAATAAATCATTTCAAAAGTTCTACTTGTGAGACATCAAAATTGGAGTTTCCACACATGATTTGAGGGAGTGGTGGCACAGTATTTATATAAATGTATTTAATGAAAAGTTCATTTGCTCTTCAGAGTGCAGTGTGCCATTGGAGACTTGGAAAAAGCAGCGTTCTGTGTGACTTTTGGTGGGAATGGGGTGCAAATTGGGTTGGAGACTATGGTCCAAGCTCCTGAGAATAACCAAGGCATTATTCTTTTTCTTTCGATCGGAGAGTCGGAGGTCCTTAAGGCCTGCAAAAGTCGGAAGACGCATCTCTCCGTCAAGCACATGCACCATCCCATGGAGTCATACGGTCGTGCTGCTTGTTCTTTGCCATAGTGATGCTGCAAATCTTGGATCATTTCCCATTGCTGCGGGAATCCTCGCAGTGAGAAGGTTTCCAGTGCGAAGAAGCTGGACGCCTATTTCCGGCAGTCAAAGCCCTCCTTTATCGTTTAGCAGCCTCTCCAAGTGTGGTCACTCTTTGCAGGACTGCGAACAAGGACATTTCTTTCCGAGCAAGGTGCCGGGTAAAGAGCATTGTGTTCTTTTAGGTTTTGACTTGGTTCAAAAGATTGCAAATCCACTCTTTGTTGGTTCTGGTTGTTTCAAACATTTGCACTTGAGACTTTTATATAGCTGCTTGAGCAGGTGGTTTCTATTCTATGTTTCAGATGGATGTGATGTGGTCCTGTTTCCACTTATATATGCGCAAGCTTGGAATTCTGGCGAACTCTGCTGCCCAATTTCTGGCTCCTGCAACACGTCAAATCCCTTGAAACTTCATGATATTCAGGTTTTGTTCGTGTTTCTGAACACCTAGCACCTTTGGCACCTTACTTAGCAGGTCCACTTGCCAACTCTTCATAAGAACCATCCTTGGCCTGCGCACATGAACCTCACCTGTCACATTGGATGCCTTGGAGGTTCGACCCCCCTCCTGCACAAGTGACCCGCGACGTGGCCACTCCAGGCGTTGAATGTGGCGGGGTCTTGGCTCCTCCGTGGAAGCCCCAGACGGTTGCGAGAGTTACTGAAAAGGAGCTATTATGAGTGACATAAATTCTTCCATCCGCGAACCCTTGCCTATTTAAGTAACGAGCAAATCCTAGGTAGACAATGAACAGAGCCTTTTCATTTGAGTTTCGTCGTCGTCAGCAACAGCAATCCTTCAACAGTTATATAGACCTCTTTTTAGATGGAAGCAGGTTGGGAGCTGCACATGGCTGGGGCAGTGCTGTTGGTGGTGACACAGGTGGGGTGCGGGAGTGCATGGTTACTTCAAGCTGAAGACGGGTATGGAAGCTGTTTGAGCCAAGAGTGATGGACATCTTTGGCTACCTATGTTGCAAGCTTTGTTAAACAACATACCGGCAGGCCGCTTTAGGAGCTCTAAACTAGGCAATTTCAAGCAAAGTCGCTTTAGCACAATCATGGGCCAAATCGGGCACCTAGTATCACACAGAAATAGCTCCAGTATGTGGATTTCAGTTGATTGGGAGGGCGAGGTGTTTCGCTGCACAGCACTCGTCTGCCACTCCGTCGCTGGGGATTTCACAGATTTGGAGCTTTGGCGCGCTGCTGAAGTTCTTCGTGTTGCCGTTGTTGGTGATGCACGCGACCCTCTCCACCACGAGCAAGGAGGTTTCTTGATTTCAAAGATGCATGCGTGTTTCAGAGATGGGCAGAGCATGGGGCCATGTTCAATGGCGGTTTGGGCTGAACAACATTTTATGGCAATTTTCACTGGTTCTTCACATCGCTAATTTTGCGGCTGCAACCCTGTGTCGATAAAGCAAATATATACATCTATATATATAGTGCTATCGGAATTTGAAGGACCCAATTGCTTGGCGAAGAATAGACAAGGAAAGGAATGAGTCATCAGTGGAACGACACCCTGCTGACATAACATAACAGACTTCTAACGTCACGGCCTTCTCTCATTCCTCTCTTGTTCCCATGGTGCTCGTTCCAGCGCTGTCGATTTATCGATGTATCTGAGGTCGAGGTGCCAAAGAAAGAGCGCAAGACGATGCGGAAGTCACCCTCGATGACCTCGTCACTCGATCTGAAGTGATTTGTTATTTCAGGGTCCGCCGGGTCCTGTCTTTGGGTTTTCTACACTTGACTGGTTAGAACTTCCACTCCACTGTAACAACACTCCACTGTAACAACACAATAGGTTGGGTTGGAATTTTGGCATTTACGCAGACCTGCCTGTGGTTAGCATGTTTGAGGGTTCGTAGGACTTTGAAGCGTTGAGCGACAGCGGAAATTTCCTCATCAGCAACCTGCATGAACGAAACTACAGCAGTTAGCAGGAAAGGAAGTGTCGATGGACAAATTCAGACAAACACCCCGGCCTGCCCATGGCATTTAGTGTTTGTGTGACACGGGCCACAGGGTCCTCTTGGCAACCAAGACAGAATTTCTTCCGGGCCATTTTTTCGGTCTTCACGTTCAAGCGTTTGGGGTTCAATCGGAATGATGGATTCTGGGGAGCATGTTCTATGGAATCTCGTCTGATGTACAGTTGAGCATGACCATTCATGATCATCCCTTACCTAGAGCACGGAATCTTCTGGGCATGGACACGTTCTTCCATGCCAAGGTTGGAGCTTCTGTTCCCAGAGTTGGAGTGTGGATGCCGAGTGAGCAATCGCGAACCCCGTGTGGCTTCATCAGATTTGGTCACTTCCGGCTGCAGGGACATGCGCAGTCAGTAAGATGGCAGGGACCTTTCCTAGGTGAGACTTTTGAAGTTCCTGAGCTGAAGCCAAAGAGAACAAAGGTTTCTTTCATCTTTGAAAGCATGCAGAATCGCCTCACCCGAATGGCGCATTCTCTCAAATCGCAGTTTGAGAAGGGAGCTTCCAAATCATCTCTGGGCCTAATGTTGACTTCTGATTTATACATGGCCCGTGAATAATACTATATACTGTAAATGTTTTCAAAAATCAATTATTAATGGCCCCCAAATAATACTTTTTTTTTTTTTTTTCTGGACCATGATTTTCAGCTGCTTCCAGACCTTGATTCATCCAAACTGATTCCAAAACCGGATTCTGTTGGTGGTTTCCTTTACAGTTCTTTTAGATTTCCTTTTGGTTGAAAAGCCTTAGCTTTATTGAAGGCAATCCTTTCTGGATGTCTGATTTGGCTGCTGATTTGGCTGCTGCATTTTCCTTTTAAAACTGCGTATTTGGGCATTGCCATTTGTGACCTGAAATCAACCCACAAAGTCCACCCCCCACAAGCAGCCCAAACCTTCAATTACTTCAGACCTCAAATAGATAATATATATAATTCTACACAATCCCTGGCTGGTTCTTTTGGTGGTTTCCTTTACAATTCCTTTAGATTTCCTTTTGGTTGAAAGGTTTTAGTTTTGTTGAGGGCTATGGTCATTTAGGTTCAGCCCCTTTACAGTTCCTTCAGCACTACTTACATTGATTGCTTTCATTTCCTTTCCTTTTATTTTGCTTTCATGTCCTTTCCTTTCGTTTCATTGTCCTTTCAATTTCCTTTCCTTTCCTTTCATTTTCCTTTCATTTCCTTTCCTTTCCTGTAATTATGTAATTTTCTTTTCTTTCCTTTCATTTCCATTTCAAATCAATATTTTTCTGGATTTTTCTAGATTTCACATCATTTAGGGCCCGCACTTGATCCACGGGGGGGGGTTATTATTCAGAGGTGGACATTAAACCGTGTTGAGGGGAGTATGCAAGATGTTCATCAACCATGGCTTCCGGCCAAAACACAAGCTTGAAGAATCATATGCACAAGCACACGTGAGGATTCCACATGATTGGGGATCAGTGCACTTCCATTTTCAACGCGCAGGAAGCATCCCAACTCAGTGGGTCCCTTTTGAACCAGCGGTCCCGACTTAAACCAGAAACCTGGTTTAAGGCGGTGAAAGCTCCATGTTACTTTTTTTTGCACATCCAAACAGAGAAACAACCAGAGTCTGTTGGAGGCCATTGCTATTAGGTTGGAGGCCATCGCTGTTCTCTTCCTTTTCCCATGGTGGGTTTCCACCAGCACAGCTTCGAGGTCCACCGCCTCGCAAGTCAGCGACCTCTTGGTTGAAGCGCAACAGGCGGACCAATCCTCGGTCTTCAGACGCCAGGCTGGCGATGGGACTGTTTCAGGACTGGGATGATGTTGGTGTGGGTATGAATTTGCGGTTTCGGTGTCCAACTCATGGAAGAAGTGGAGAAGCAGGAACTAGAATCTGCAGCGACAATGGGGCTCCATGGAATGTCAAAGATTCACGAAGATTTCAATGTAGCAAGTCCTACCTGGACTTAAAACAGGTGACATGACAGACACTGACCGACGATGTACAATCAGTTGCGACGAAAGCAAAACGTCACTGACCTCTCCTTTGCTCGCTGATGTCGACTGTTCAAGCAAATGTTCCCAGGTCAGTGGAGATCAAGATGATGAGGAGGAGCGCAGGGGGTTTGCAGGTTCGGTGGAAGGGTGGTGAAAAGATAGACATAGCATGATGCCCTTTAGTGGCCCCTAGTAGCGTCCTTGCTCCTAGCATGATGCCTAGTTTGTGTTTGTTGGTTGTGAGATGAGAAACTATGTACTGCCCAAGCAAGGTTTTCTCTCTTGACGTGGCTTTCTGGACATCGGATAGCCTGACTGTTCAGCTCAGCTTAAGCTCCATTTTTTAGGTTAGACTGGACTCCATGTAAAGGGAATGTCGTCTTGGATGAGGGATTGAAAAGGAGTCGGCTGGATTCTGCTTCACTATTTGCTGCGACAGGATTGGCAATTTGGGGTTGCACTCCATCAGATTCCAATGCCTCTTGGATTGAAATTGGTATTGGAGTTTTTAGGGTAGATGCTACACCAGCGACGCCCACCTGGTGGAGACGCGTACGCATCCTTTTCGATACGCAACAAGCAAACAGCCGCTGTGAGGCAACGGCATGGTGCCCTTGCGTTCATTCCGGGAGACCAGCAAGAAGGGTGGTGAAGACATGAGTCAATTTCACACACGACTCAGGGTGATCAAAGCATTTACCAGTCACCGTTGACCTATAAACTGTTTGGGCAAGTGGGAGTTTAAATCCTGTGTGTTCTTCATAGGGGAGCCGCAGACTGTGCCACGGATACACAGATTCTGAAGAGGTCCTTGCCATGTTTGTGCGACCAAGCCTTTCAAAGAAGGCACCCATTGGATTTCACACCTGCAGACCCACTATACACACCCTTTCAGAATCTAACGTTGACAACCACGTAGGTGAGCTCCAACGCTTGTCTTGGAAAAGTGCATATGTACACACTTAGGATAGGGTGTACTGAACTGAAAGCGGTGCCACACGCCGGCCTAGGGTTCCATTTCCTAAGGGTACAGGTAAGGACACCTAAAAAGGAAGAGGAGGTCCATCCAGCCGAGGTCCCAAAGAGTTCAGGTGGCCAGCCATTCCAAAAGAAATCATCGATCGAGCGGACGACAAGGTGGCGGCGTGCCGTGCGTGACTGCAGCTGCATTAGCACTTTACAAAGGAAAAGGAAAAGGAAAAATGTGGCCACCAGCTGCGTCTTATAATGCGCGGCCCAGGTGCACCACGCAGGTACGTTTTCACGACAGCTTGGATGGGTCTTCGTTGGCCCATGCCATCCAAGTGTCCATGGGCCCCCTGCTTTGACAAAAGCTAAAAAGCAAAAAGGCAAACCGAACAAATCCGAAAGGATCCCTATGACTCCAAGGGTTACACACACACGCCTCCCCGAGGGGAGGCGAGAAACTAAGGTAAGGGCCAATGTGCACGTGTGCGCGCACAAGAGACAAGAAAATGAAGACATGACAAGAGGACGAGACGGGACAAAGGTGCGTGTGGTTGAAATGAAAGGGGAACCAAGTGCACAGGGACAACCGATGAAGCCCACCTCATTGTAAAGACCTGGGCGACCTGAAACCTGTGTTTAAATGTATGTAGAAGTGCACGTACACACTAAGGCCGGGACCAATGTGCGCGCCAACGAAGAAAAGGATGAGATGACCAGACATGAAGACAGGAGGACATGAAAGAAAAGAGGAAACAAAAGTGTGTGAGGGGGAAGGGATGAAAGGGGAACCAGATGGAGGGGACAAGAACCGGTGAAGCCGAACCTCATTAAAACGACCTTGGAAAACCTGCCTCGTTTGAATGTATACGCTGTATGTGCACCCAAGGTCTCGACAGGTTCCAATGAACCTAGAAACTGGCTTCGACCGCTGTGGTCACCTTGTGCCTTGCCGAAATGGCTGGCTGCTTCGACCGCTGCGGTCACGTAAAGGCATAAGCCAGCTTGGAATTCCTAAAATGAGACAAAGTCGCAGTTCTCTCGGCCTAGGCCACCTACGCTCGCTGCGAGCTGCTCTGTATCCGGGCAGTGGATACGTTCGACGTACCCCCGTTCAACGGGTCCACGGGAGGCACTCTGCGGGCTCATCCCGGGTTGGCGCGAGGCCAAACACACTTAGGATAGGGTGTACTGAACTGAAAGCGGTGCCACACGCCGGCCTAGGGTTCCATTTCCTAAGGGTACAGGTAAGGACACCTAAAAAGGAAGAGGAGGTCCATCCAGCCGAGGCCCCAAAGAGTTCACGTGGCCAGCCATTCCAAAAGAAATCATCGATCGAGCGGACGACAAGGTGACGGCGTGCCGTGCGTGACTGCAGCTGCATTAGCACTTTACAAAGGAAAAGGAAAAGGAAAAATGTGGCCACCAGATGCGTCTTATAATGCACGGCCCAGGTGCACCACGCAGGTACGTTTTCACGACAGCTTGGATGGGTCTTCGTTGGCCCATGCCATCCAAGTGTCCATGGGCCCCCTGCTTTGACAAAAGCTAAAAAGCAAAAAGGCAAACCGAACAAATCCGAAAGGATCCCTATGATTCCAAGGGTTACACACACACACACACACTCTCTCTCTCTCTCGCGCTCCTCTCGCTTTGTTTTAGGTATCAGCTCCAACGCTTGTCCAAGAACCTCTCCAAAGAACTGCAACGCGCGCGTGAGAGCCTTAGTCATGAGACGTGGCGGTGGAGTCAGGGGACGATCACTTTTGCTGTCTTGCAGGTGCTACAGAAGATATAGCTTTATGGCTTTATGCTACTAGGAGCAAGGACGCTACTAGGGGCTCCTGGCCGTACTACTAAGAACAAGAAGCTACTAGGAGCAAAGGGCATCGCTACTAGGAGCAAAGACGCTACTAGGGGCCACTAAATGGAGCAGTTCACAAACCACTCAGTTGGGATACTGATTTGTTTAAATCCATCGATATCCTTCACCTCCTGCCATTAGGATCCGTTGTTTTTGCATTGGTGCAGGGGATTTGGGCATTTGATTCTAGGGAAGGTTGGGTGTGTCGTGTGGTGCTGCACGGATCCTTTTCTCCGCGCAACCTTGAGCCAAACGATGTTTATCGAATGGCGAGTTTCACCTGAGTGGTTTCAAGTACACTTCTCGTTTTGTGCACCTGACTGCAAACAAAGTTTGGAGGTTGGTGGTCCATTTCAACTGCCACACTCCCCCTGACCATCGTATGGTCAAACTTCAGGGAAAAAAGGAAGTGATCCTTCGACCACATTTCAAGTGGTTTTTCAACCACAAACTTCATAGCTGCCGTCAGAATCCGAATCCGGATCCCTCAAACGGTCACTTTGACCCGGCACACCACGCGGCCTCACTGGGAGTTGGCTCACAATGCCCATCCATTGCGGAACCTCATCCAAGTGTTCGTGTAGAGGAGGAAGTCCAGGAGGTAGTGTCGTTTCGTGCCCCTGAACTGAGCTGGTTGAGCTCATATCTAAATTCCTCCTCCAATCTTCCCTTTCACTTTCACTTTCTGTGGCGCTCGACGCCGGCCCAGATCGCAGGTTCTCCCCGCGAGAGAGGTAGCCGCCAAGTCGCCCCATGTAGCCAAGGGTCACGCCAGCATCAATGGCGTCTGAGCCCCGAGCCGCTGCCGTAGATCCAGTCGCACTGGACCTTGTGCTGGGAGAGGTCTGTGAAGGTGCAGAGGACGATGGCGATGAAGTCCTCCTCACCGAATGCACTTCCGTTCTCACCCAGGTCACATTGGCCGTCGGAAATTCCACCTGTTCAGACGATGGAGTGCCAGTGGAGTTCTCTGCCACCGAATCCAAAGTCGCCCTTCGTTGGGGTGGTTCCAGCGTGTCATCAACCGGAGGTGGACCTGAGCTGCTCGACTGTGGATCGGTGGAAGTTGTTGTTTGTAATCTCCCGGAAAAAGGTGTATCCCACCCATTGATCCTGGTCAGGCAAGACAGGGCCAATGCCACTCCTCCAGTCGTCGTAGAAGATGGTTTTCTCTCCATGGTGCCAAACAACAGTCACCCTTTGGTGTCGGATGGATGCACTGTTGAAGGGCGTCATCCTGTGTAGTGGGTGGAAAGGTCGTTTTCGAGGCTTCACATGATGCCTCACCCACCATCCATAGCGCAATCGCCTCCAGCGGTCGCGGCCTTGCGGAGGGAGCTGGAATGGGAACCACTCCCAAATCCGCTCTTCCGGCTGCTCCGGCCCAGCGCGAGCCCCAAGCGCAGCCAGCCGCACGCCATGATCGCACGCACGAGACGCGGCCGAGGTATAGCCATTTAGGCTAGGTCCCAACCCCCCCAACCCCTCCCGTGCGGTGGGTTCATTTTCCCTCACCGATCTTGACTTTCTTGTTTCGACCGATTCGCTTCCCATGGGCGCCCCCGCCCGCGAATCGACCGTCAGGTGCCCATTGGTCTTTGTGGGGTCTTTTGTGTCCTTTTTCCACCAAATTGCAAGTGCAGCTACCAAAGCTGAGATGGTGACACATCTCGCCACCTTGTGACTTTCCTGCGAAGGGTTCCATGCCGCCATGCCAATGATGCCGCCCAGAATTGCCATCAACCTTGACTTGGACAGCGATGCACCTGGAGCTCGGTCAACATCCTTGGACAACACACGAGCTCCAATGAAGGTGTAAAAGTTCTGCCACAGCGTCGGGTTGACGATTGGTTTGGTGAGCAGGTCTGAGGCAAGTTCGGCTCCTGGAACATGTTGGGTTTTCCAGCAGCTCTGCTGAATGCGTTCCTTCACAACGAACGCCCTCAAGCGAAGGTGTCTTGTTCTCCAGGGTCCATCCGGGGCGACCAAAATCTTCAAGCCAGTTTGAGAGTCACCGCAAAGGACCTGTTGGCCTTGGAGATGAAGACGATTGTCCTCCAGCACATTGACCACTGAAGCGACTGATTCTCCGATGACGACTCCATCAACGTAGCCCATCAGCTCGGCCTCAGCGCTTGAAAGAGTTGCAAATGGTTGTTGTTTACTCTCCCACTGCACTGGAGAGCCATTGTAGGTCACCAAAAGACCTTGCTGTCCTCGTCCTCCTTGGGGTCCATGAGAAGCATCTGAATACACTTTCAGGCAGGGCTTTTTGGCAGCATCACAATCTTCGAGGGACGACTCAACCACCTGCTTGGTGTAGCGAAGCTCATAGTCCACTGTATGCTGCAAGTAGCCCAACATGTGAGCACCCCACTCCAGAACCTTGGTCGGTGCTTTCGTCACCAAACGTCCCATGATGGAGACACCGTAGCAAAGATCTGGTCTTGTGCGGCCACTCAACCAAAGAAGTTCTCCGACCAAAGCTTGAGCTCGTCGGACTTGGGAGATTTGCACATCAGCTTCAACTTCATCTTGAACTCCCAAAGGAAGAGGCGTTTGACGTGGTTTGATGCCTTCATGGCGAGACAAAAGATCTCGAGTGTATGAGGCCTGGTTGAGGATCACCGCATCATCGCTGCAGCTGATCTCAAAGCCACAAAACTTGATGGCCTTTTCTGCCGTTGCCCACTCTGGTTCGGAACACCGCCAATGAGCCCTAATCCCATCGATCACCGACTTTGCCAAGGGACCTGGTGCAGCAACAAGCATGTCATCAACGTACACAGCGAGGAAGCCTTCAGAGTTGTCCTCCTGCGGAAGAGCACCAGGGTCGGTTTTGATCAACTTCCAAAGGTTTGGCTCCGGTGTGGACAGCAGCTGGTAGTCATGACCTCCTGCCGAGAAGCGCAGTTGAGGTAGTTCACGGTCACGGTACTGCGACCAATTTGCTGGAGCATCGTTCAGCCCGTAGACGGCATGCGAGATCTCCCAAAGTTCCGCAGCGTCGCAAATTCCAGCTTCAATTAACACCTTTCGTGGACGAGCGACTAGCAGACGTTCTTGTTCGTCAGGTCGTGGTGCAAGAAGGAAGGCTGTTTTGACGTCCACCGTGCCGACTGACCACGAGTTTTCAGCCGCACATTTCATCAAGCAGCGCAACGTAGTTCCATCTGCTCCACCTGCATAGAGCGAGAACGGGTTTGAGTCCTTGGGCTGAGTCTCACCTGCAGAGTTGTTGCTCTCTTCATTGACCTTGGTGAGATGGTTTCCACAAATGACCACCCGAGCTCGAAGACGTCCATGAGGACTTTTGACTGTAGGAACAAGCATCGCTGGAGCCAGCTCCATGGTGGGAAATCTTGGATCCAGGCGCAACTTTTCCTCTGTAGTAGGCTTGATTGCCTGAGTTGAGGACACCAGCTGTCCATATTCATCACGCAGAGGAGGTTTCCATTTTTCCAATTCCCTGCGAACTTGCTGTAGTGAGACCGTATAGGTCTGAAGCACTGTTGCTGGAGCATCTGAGGTTCCCATTGATGGAGCCAATGCCGACAGCTTGAAGTTCTCGATTGCAGAGTGCTGAAACGACAGTTGATCTTCAGCACCCTTGAGGAGTAGTTCAACTTCATGAAGCCAGCTGCCATGGACACTGCCGGAGTTCTCACCAACTGCAACTTCACGAAGGCCTTGACACCAAAGCTGTTTGAGCGCCCAGTGTCGCTGTTGTTCAAGCTCATGCCACTTTTCCACTTGCTGCCAATCACACAGCAGTGAATCTTCGACCTCCCCCTGAAGGTCATGGTGCAAAAGTTCATCACCAGGTTCAACTTTATCATGTAGTTTGTGGCCACCATTCACCTCCTCCAACACCCCCTTTGGCTCAAGCCTGACCGAAAGCGACTTGCCAACATCCAACGATGAAGACCAGTCCAAAGAATCGAGAGAGTCCTCCCCCCAGCTCTGCAAGTTGATAGAGCTGGAACTGACTCCTCATAGAGCGCTCCCACGCGGCCAGCCAGTGGATGGTCAGGTAGTGGAGGTGGGTGTTTTCCAGTGATGCGATGCTTCACGGCAGGCACCTCTTGGAGTTCCATGATCGCCTGATCGGCTACCGGCGATGGTTCGAGTGCAGTGCGCACGTGCAACAATTGGCCCTTCTTGTCCCGGACAATCCAGCCATGCGACATGTATGGGCAGGGACCAAGGAGTTGCATAGTTCGGTATGGCATAGAGAGCTGACCTGCACGATGCCATCGTTTGGATTTGACCAAAACTGATGCTCCGAAGCGAAGCATAGGAGGACTTTCCAGCCCAAGTCGTTCAAGTTGTAGTCGAACACGTTGTTCGGCAGCATGGCGAAGGGCAACTGGCCAGAAGGAGTGAGGTAGTCCAGCATCATGAAGGAACAACCTGGTGCGGCGCTTGAGTTGGTTCACTTCTCCTTCAACACGGCCATTGGCCTTGGAATCATCGCCAGCCGTCATAGTCAAGCGAATCTGTCGCTGTTCACACCACTTCTGAATTGGTGCTGAAGCAAATGATCGTTCACGATCTGTGTGCAATCTGTAGACCTGGATGCCCAGCATGCGGTACTTGGCGTGCAAGCGGGACAAAGCACGGACCAGTGACTCCACCGTGCGATCAGGAATCACTTCAGCCAGGGTGACATTTTGATGTCCTTGCGGTTCTTGAGACTTCTCAATCTCTGCCATTTCATTGAGCCTCCGGACTTCATCTTCAGGGACTAGGTCACGGTCTTCTGGCTCGCAGGGAATCTCCTCCGTGTGCTCCACATCCTTGGCGGTGTTGCATGGCTCAGTAACCTCACCTGGAAGCTCAGAGATGATGGGGACGGCCACAGTTGAGACCAGTGCGTACTTGCAAATGACTCCTGTGCCCAAATCTTTCCCTTCAGGAAACGGTCCACAAAGGTCGGCTGACATAGTGAACTTCGTGGCGCTCCCCCCCAAGCCTCTTGTGTGGTTTGTCGCAGCCCATAGCTTCCCCACAGATGCGGCAGTCAGCACGAAAGGGGATGTGACCCTGTTTGATATGTCGATGCCAAGCTGCAAGGTCCATTTTGGAGACATGGTGACCACCTCCAGCCCCCTTTTCCTCCTCCAAAACGCCAAGCAACCTCCTCAAAGCTTCTTGAATCGCTCCCACAAGGCCTGGTGCCCACGCTGCCCAGGTCTTCGAAGTGCGAATGCGGTCACCGAGGTTCGACGGGAGTGGTCTGTCATCACAACCATCGCCTTGGAGGCCATGTAGTTCTTGGAAGGCAGGAAGGTTAGTCAAAACTGTCGTAGGTTTTTTCCTCTGGTGACCCAGCTTTCCTTGATCGAAAGTGACCAAGCGAAGGCCAGCAGTTCCAACCCAAGCCATCAGCTCCGGGAAGCACCAGAAAGAAGCGCTTTGCCCACCTTCTTCACCAGCAAGATATTCAGCAGGATCTCGCGGTGATTCCAACAGCATGCCAACATTCGTCGATGTTCTGCGGCATTCTTGAGCTCGGATCCATAGACCCATGTGCTTCATGCACAAAGCTGTATCGCCATGAACCAGGCGAAGTTCCTCCTCCGAGAGGTCATTGAGGCACCAGCGATCTTCTCCTCGACCACGAAGGCGACGAGGTCCTGGTGGTGACCGGTTTCGAAGGCGACTCACGGTCCTGCAGGGAGGACCTCCAACAATTGCAACGATGCGTCCCAAAGACGCCAGCTTCCACAAATAGCCCCAAACGGCCGGGTTGTGCAGGTTCAACGAGGAGTTGATCTCCGTGTCAATGCACAGCCAAGAGTATGCTCCTCCGCCAACACAATTCCACTTCTTCACATCAGGACCACTGAATAGGTGTACAATGACCCCCTTTCCAGTGAGGTGTGCCCTCCGAATTCTCCGGTTCCAGGGCGTTGTAGTTGGATCTTGGCTCTGTCCAGCCATGTGTTGAAGAACAGGATGTGGTAGTTCAGGAAAATGCTTCTGCCACCACTGCCGGTCCTCCTCAGAAAGTGCCACCTCCCCCCGATCCTCGAGCTCGATCTGGGAGAGCATGTCCAAAGCAGGTTGACGATGCATGATCGGGCAGCCAGATCGAAGCCAGCAGTCGATCGCACCGAGTGTTGGGTGACGGATACTGCAACCCGTCCTTCGCCACTCCACCTTATAGCCCCGTTCAACCAGCAGCCCCAATGGGATGATCGGCTCCACCTCCTCCAAGGACAACAGGGTGCGGTGCTTTGGATGGCGATACAAAACTGTAGTACCTGTAGCAAGTTCAACCTCGATGGGAGTCATCTCGCTCCTTTCATCAGGGTGTGCAGTTCGGAGGGCATGTGTTGCCCCTCCGTCAAGGAGTGCAAAACCTTGAAGACTTGTGTTCACGGGCTCCACGAAGACCTGTTTCAGGCGAACCGCTTTCAGGGTCCTGAGCGTCTTGAGGAGAGTTGTTGCTTCATCAAGGAGGACAGAAGCGGAGTCAACCTTTGACTTTCGGTCACCCCCCAACTCCTTCTCCGGCGACCCACCACCGTTCTTTCCCGATCCACCTCCAGACACCGTTGGCGATGACAAGAGCGATGAACTCGGAGACGATGTAGTTCCCGAAGCCTCAGAATTTCTGTATTGTGTTTCCTTGGTAGGACTGTCCTTCGACACCTCCTCACCAACGCCTTTTACCTTGGCATTCTTTTTGAAATCCTTGGTGCCCCTCTGTTGACGGTGAGGACAATCTTTCATCATGTGACCTTCTCCTGAACAGAAGAAACATCTTTGCTGACGATCCAGTCCATCCCAGGAGTGCGCGTAGCCACACGTGTCCCCCCTCCGACACCCAGACTGAGAGCCCCAAAATCTGCACGGCGACCTCGGCTTCTCATCTTGGCCTTGGCTTGAGTGCAGTGCTTTCACAACCGGTGCAGCGGTCTGGCTAGACGGAGTCGATGATGTTGTAGCCGATGTCTTTGGGGCCACCACCATAAGCGACAGGTCCTCCATCTCCGTCTGCAAGTATTCACTGAGATCTTTGATGGACTGAAGTTCGGGCCTCAGATCCACCAGCAATTCCTGCCTCACCGAAGACACCCGGTAGGCCACTTGACTTCCTCCCAATTTCGACAGGGAGTCCATGATGCGCCCCAACACCTGCATGAGAATCAACGGGTCAGGCAGGGTCAAACGAAGCTCTTCTGCTCGCTGGAGCCATCGTCGCCAGGTCCTTGTAGTCACCAAGAGGTCCTGGATGTTGTTGGATGTTTTCACTTCCGTCAAACACTTCAAAAGTGTAGTTCGTTCGGCACCTCCTCCAGGCTGGAAAAGGACATGAAGTCGAAAAAGGATGCTGACCGTTGTGACCTTCCTGTTGGCGATCACATCTCTTCGAAGCTGGTCGGGCAAGATGCTCAGGAGGAGCGATACACCACGCTGTTCAACACGTTGGTGGACAGGGTCGATGTTCTCCACAGGGCGCAAGCGAAGGCGCTCCAAAGGAGTAGCAGTGAGCCACTTCTCATAGAGTTCACCAGCTGCAGCCAAGCATCCATCCCACCACAACTGAGAAGTCGCCGAGAGGTTTGCCATCAACGGATAGGTCATAGTCAACCAATCTCCATATTGAAGTGCAGCTCCTTCAGTTGAGGGATGAGGCAAGCTCGGAAGGTCCAAGCTCCTCACGGTTTCCGGAATCACCGGAGGCTGAGTAGAGTCACCTTGAGGTCGTCCAGCATGAAGTCCTGGAGGACGGTCAGGTTTGGTGCATGGGGGAACTCCCGCGCCCACAGGATCACCAGGAGGTAGTCCAGGAGGTTCAGGTGAGCGCGGCCTCCATCACCAATACCAGCGCTCGCGGCCGAGGCATAGGACGAAGCATCACCAGGTGCTCCACCATCAGTCAACCTCTTGACTTCACGAGCGAACTTATCCTCCGCCTCCCGCAAGATCTGAGCTCGGATCTTCTCCACATCGCCAGCTCCGGGACTGGAAGGTGCAGGTTTCTTTCCACTGCTTTCAGCCATACGTACATGCCCTTCACCTTTTGCAGCCTGTTGAAGTGAAGTGCTCCAAAAAGGATTCACAGTGCTGAGAGGCCCCACCGGAGTTGCCGCCGCATAGGGATCCAGCGTTCTTGGATGGAGAGCTTCGCGGCCCACCGATCCCACCATTGGAGAAACCATAGATCCATCCCGATCGGATCTCACATCCCTGACCGGGGTTCCAGCTGCCAACGCATGCCCTGGAGGACCTCCATGATCGTGCACATGAGGGACTCCCTGATCAGCTTGGCGAAGGAGTGGATCAAGTAGAGTCGGACCCGGTTGTTGAGGTCCTCGTAGTGCGTTCTGCAGAACTTCAAACGAGTGGCGCACCGCTTCTTGGAGATGCCCCAAACCCATCGACTGTCCCCTAGGATCCATCACCAATTGGTGTACTTGTTCTTGTGCAGGTTGAGGATGGTAGGTCACAGGTGGTCCTTGCGGTGCCCTCAACAACTCCGCAGCGGAAGCTCCCAAACGTTTCATTTCTGCCGTGGACGACGATGCCGGCACCGACTTGGCCCTCGAGCGAAGCTCCTCTTCGATCAAGGCGTCGAGCTTTCGGTCAGCGACTCCCACCTCCAGCCGAGGTGTAGCAGCGGCAGCCTCCTTCACAACAGCCTCCTTTGCGGCAGCTTCTTCTTTTCGCTCCCTAGAGCGCTGTTGCTTGCGTCTTCGATGCTGCTCCATGGGGACCAACAACCTGAAAAAACAGGGTGGACTTCTACCGGCCACAACCCGTCAGCAGGTTGGGCTCATAACCTAGGGAAGGTTGGGTGTGTCGTGTGGTGCTGCACGGATCCTTTTCTCCGCGCAACCTTGAGCCAAACGATGTTTATCGAATGGCGAGTTTCACCTGAGTGGTTTCAAGTACACTTCTCGTTTTGTGCACCTGACTGCAAACAAAGTTTGGAGGTTGGTGGTCCATTTCAACTGCCACAGATTCAATTGTAGGGCCGTAGGGTATCTAAACAGTATCAAATAGTTTGCATTGGGTTTGTCCAGAAACGGTATGGATTTTAAGCTCCCAAATGACAATATGCAAACGATCGAAACACTTTGCGCATGAACGGAGTGCGTGGTCCTCAAGTGGTCTTCATGTCTTATCCAGACCCAACACAACAGTGTGGAAGAAGGAAGGGTCGAGGAGGGCCACAACAGCGAACACTTTTGTTGTGCTTTGAAGAAGTGAAGGCAAGACGACATGCATCACATGCTTTTTCTGCATGCAACAAAGCGTGAAACAAGCCTCTAAGCTCAGGATTCTCTTCTTCTACTCTCCTCATTCTTTGTGTCCCATTTCCACCCTGCCACCGCCTGCACAAAGCGATGTAAGTCGAGCGGGGATGTTCTTCACCGAGGCAGTGGGTCCTTTGGTTCCAGTGGGGACCTGGCGGGCATGGCACAGTCGGGCTCGGAAGAAAATTTGAAGAAACTCCGCGAGGCACACGTGACGTGTCGAGATTCCCTGGATGGCCTCCACAGCGATGGCCTCCAACCTAAGAGCGATGGCCTTCACCGTAAGGGGAACTTTCCCAACAATACCCTAGCTAGTAAACGGAGCGCCAGTCTTCAGAGATGAACTTACTGTAGAATGCTGAAGTTGTGACGGGTTGGATTGTGGGGAACTTGATGAGAGTGATCTGGGACCAGATGCACTTTTGATGGAAGGGCGGAGTTCTTTGGTGCCTGACCTGTGATCTTCACCTTCTCCAGTTGGTCTCCGCGGATGACATTCTTTAATTTGTTTTGTATTGTATTATTGTTTTACAAGGAATTGTCAAAGTTGCTTCTTTTTGGGAAAGTGGGTATTGACATCAATCTGCACTGTCAATATCTAAGATTCGTCGTTCAATACCTGTCTCGCTGTGGGATCACGATTTACCTTTGCAGTAGTGTCGAGCACATCGAAGTCTGTAGTCTCAGTCTGTTCATCATGGCACACAAGGCCTCTGATTGACCGCTTCCATGTCCCATTGGGGCGGTATACGGTATACTTTATTTTGCTCCAACCCACAGGCACTGCCAGATCGACCATGACTGGGCCAGGCCTCAAAGTTAAAGTCCAAACAAAAAGAGCTCGGGACCTCAGCCCCTAACAGCCCAGCGTGTGAGCAAGTGGTTTAGTAGGAAAGAGGTGAGCCATTTTGGAGGCACAAATGGAACAGGGATGCTGATTCGCTGATGGTCAACAATGGTCTCTCGATCTCACGATCCTTTCTAGCAACTAGGCTGATGCGTCCCCTTGTCATCTGATGTTCGAAGAGACAATTCCGAGTTACCAACAGTTGTGGACATGTGTGTTGCACGCAGAAAGTGCTCGCATGTGTGGGATGACGAGCAGAGTTGGAACGTGTTCTGGACGGTGCGGAGCTGCACATAGAGGAAGGTGCGTGCAAACATGTGGAATCTGTACGACAGAGAGCGAGAAGGTGCGTCAGAGATGAGGGTACTGGAGTCAGACATAAAATATACAAACAATCTCTATCGGCATCCTGGGGTGGCATGAGTTCACAGCACACACCAGGAACAATCTATTTACAGCGCGTACCAGCAACAACAAAACAACGCAAGCTATCATGTCTCTTCATCAAACAAAGCACACAAAACACCGATCGTCCCGTACTTTTTGAAACATCCGCAAAGTACACCTGCTTCTTACGAGGTGGTTAAATCAGGTTTGGCGTTTGGCAGACAAATCTACTTCATCGGATGTGCCGATGGTCTGCTTCATCGGCCGAGCACGCCGTGGAAAGCCGGAGCGAAGCACGGCCGAACCAGAACCATTTCTGTGTGTTTTCCTGGGAGCTACCAGCGACAAACCAGCTACCCCTTGGCCTCCAACTCCCGGGTGCCTATATGTACCATATGGCGATGGCCTTGCAGGCGATCAAAGAAGAAAACGCCTCTGGATACCATCTTGAACATCATTGGCTGGCCAGCGCGGGGTCACAGATTTCCTTTGGCCGATCGGAGTACGTGCAGTGATGCACTGAGACTAAAAGAAGGAGGAAGACAAAGGAGTTACAGTATTTGATGTGAATACTCCACTGAGAATATCGACTGCTTTGCGGAGTGGAGGCTACCCGACCTTGCCCAGTCCCCGTCAACCCGTCAACAGCTTCACTGGCTGGCTCAAGAAAGCATGGCACCGAAAAGTTCTGCATTTGCTTTGGTGCTACATGTATATAAGTTGGCCGTACACTTCGCCAGTTTCGCAGGAAAGTCGACAAGTTGATCGCTGGGACATGGGACTTGTTGGTCTTACATCTGAGTAGAGCTTCCAACAGCTTTCTCACCTTCTTTAATTGTTGAAATGTTGCTTCTTGTTTGTTGAAATGTGTTAAACAAAATCTCAAATCATCCATGGTTTCTCCCTTTCCGCATCACAAGCGAGAGAATCGCGCTTCCCACCTGTTGAGGCCCGGTACCTTTTCCGAGAGATGTGGCTATGGACGGAACGAGATTTGGCGCTGTACGCGGTGGTGGGACTTTTCCTTCTGGAGGTCTATGCCCCTCGGCTGCAACCAACGAAGTACCGGAGCAGAAGTGTTGATGGAAGAGATCCAAAGGATCCAAGGAGATTCTCAAGATCGTGTTTGGCCCACTGATGCTTGGTTTTAGCTAGAACACCCTTGGGCTTTTGAAACTTGATGTCGTCTAAATCTGCCTTTGAACCGTTTGATTGACATCGTTTGGCTGTGAACCTTTGACTGTGACACCCCAGGTTGGCACACAGTATTTTGCCTGGTCGCCAGTTTGCCTCCTCTATCCCATCCTTTCAAGCTCTTCAGGTTGGTGGGCTGACATCTCGGGGATTGAGAGAGGGAATGGAGATGTGGAGTGATGGTGGTTCCAGAGAAATGCGGGTCAAACAAATCAAGTGGATATTGAGTTGTATTATTTTTCGTTTCCCTCCTGCTCCCGGAGACGTCAAGGCAAATGTGGTTCCTCTTGTACTAGGAGACCATGGATTTCTTGGCATTCTGAGCGCCTCGAATTCATCATAATTGCTGAAACATCTTTACGGTGGATTTTCATTGTGTGCGCGACTGGGTTGGTAGGACCTGCCCCTGTCTCAAAAAGCAGCAAACATACGAACCCCTACTGTAGAACTGATCTGCTTGTGCCACTTGGCCTCCACATAATCCATGTATGCAAGATCACACTTGCCCCTTTTTTCCTGCTGCGAGGAGTATGGCTCGTTCACTTGTCTGAAAGACTTCCTCTCCTTGTGGCAACCTCTCCAGAGCCACGAGCATTGCCAGGCTCCCGCAAGGCGCAAGAGCTCCAAGACGAGCTGGTGATGATCTTCGCGCCGGAGTGGCTTTGACAACGCCTGGCTGTGGGTTCGGGAGAGGGTGACAGGAGGAAACCATTTCCTTCTGTGGACAGTTCGATGGGAAGCTAGAGTATGTCTTCGGACAATCCTTCTATTTCTTTATATTTTTTTTTGAGAACTACGAGAAACTTTTGGGACAGGTGACAATCATCACACTCGGTGAAGGGTACCCCGTACTGGAAAAAAGCGAACTTCATTGATTGACTGACTGATGGGTGTTGATCGGGAGTCTGACAGGAGGAGTTCCCATAGAACTTACATAGGTTGAAATTCTGCCAGACTGACGTGGCCAATCCCTTTGGGAGTGCTTTGCTCACTGTTCTTCTCCCCTGCTGTGTGGTAATCAATGCGGGAATTACTGGGCGTGACAGTGATGATTCGTTCCCGAGTCGTCTAAACGAAACACAGCAAGATGCCTCCCGGTTTTGGATGCTGTGAGGTCAACGGCCGTTTCGAAGCGTCGAAGACCTTTCGGCAGAATCCCAGGACTTTGTCTGTGACTGTGAACAGCAGTTGTCCATTGACTCCTTCTTTGCTTTGAAGAATCTATTGTAGAGACGACCACCCTTTTTTAGAATTACATGGGTGTGCGGTGTGCTTTGTGATGCAGAGAACTGACAAAACATACACTCCAAAACCCACGTTGTAAGGGACTCCCCATATTTTAGGAGAAAAATCCACCAGCAAACACTCACCTCCTCATTCTGACCCGCGTCGCGCGTGCTGTGAAGAGCGCTGGGGTCCGTGCAGCTCGTTCCGCTCGTTGCACCAACGAAGGTATCGCTTCTGGCGTCGTGTAAATATTCCCGTGTCCATCCAGGCGCTCCATGGTGAGCTGGGCAAAAAAAGTCGGCTCCAAAATAGATCGAAAAGTTAATCTCCCTGAAACAAAGGAAGAGCGTTTCTTTCCATTGGGAGACCGCTATAGGAGGGGGTGATACGGGGTGTTTGGGTAGGTTCCTGATTCTTTAATCAGAGTTCTCTCCTGGCACGAAGACACATGAAAAGGAGGTGTTTCTCCAAAACTTCTTCAACAGATCATGCATAAGCGTGACAGTCAGTGGATTCCAGGGATCCCCTGTTCTAGCTCTAGATTCCTAGACTCTAGAAGTTTTGGATATGAATCATTGCTGATTTACCCTTCCTCCTTACTTTGGGATTGCCAGTGTCAGGCTGTCGTCCAACCACCTTTCTGACAAGAAACTACTCTGCCTGGAGCTGGCCTCCTTCGGCTCCATAATGACACTCCTTCTGCTTCAACCATGAGGGTCCTTGAGAAATGACTGTGAGCTCACTCCGCAAGATCGCAAGTGTGACTTACGGTGAGGTTCAGAGGGTTATGTTGTCCTTCAATGGTTCGGATCACGGAGTCACCGAGTCAGAGTGCGTGCCATGAATCGCTTGGACAGGTTTTGGTGTGCCACAACATGTCGATTTATCTTCTGATCGTGCCCTGGCATCATTCATGGTATTGCAGTATCCGTTGCTGTGGCTGAGCAACCATTCATTAGGAAGATGCCAGACTGAATTATGTTTGGCCATTGATCCATCCACCACCCACGAAGACTGCTGAGGTCCTGGCCTTTTCGCCGGGCGGAAGGCATCCGGTGGGTCGGAACGCTCGGGGACACTCTCGTGCGATCTTGGGTGAAGATCCTTCGTGATTCTCTGTTCGGGAATATGGGAGTAGGAGGAGCCTTCGACCCACAGCCATCTAGTTGCTTGGCCCTGAGAATGTTCCATGGAGTTGGTCGCAAGATGCTGGTTTGGTTGATTCGAGGTCACAATATCACTGGTAGGTTGGTTGATAGAAGTGATTGAAAGTGGGTCGAATGTTTGGGGTTGGCTTTGCTTCAATATCAGTAAATCCATGTAAATCCCCAGGCTTGGATGACCAAACACACGTTTCCTATCCCCTTGTGACTTGGTTTTAAGAACTGGCTTTCGGCATTTTTCCACCCCAAGCTTCCGAGTCCTCAATGAGTAATCATTGAAGGACTCCCAGGTAGACGGTGGTTGCGACAATGAAGTACAAGTTTGACTCATGAGAATTCCAAGATGACACTACTCAAACATGGAAGCCTCCGGTAAACCTCAGCATTCAATTTGATCCTTTTGCCCCAATTGCCTGTGGCCATGCCAGGGATTTGTACGTGGGGAAGGTTCCGTGTTGGCAAACCTATGTTTGGGCCTTACTGCTCTTGGCGCGGTAGCCCAGAAGTGGGAGTTCAGACGCAGCCAGATGCCCGCTGAAGAGTCTTGCGGGTTGGTGACGCACAACCCATCCTCCAATTTCGGCGTGGATGGGGGGCTGTTGGTTCGAGGGAGTGTCCTCAAGGGGGTTCTCGGGCTTCCCTCCTCCCTCAATCCCAGTTTGGCAGAGAACTGAATAAGCAATGGATAATTCAATAGCGGAGTACACTAAAGTGCCGCCTCTCACTTGTGACCTGTAGAACTGTTGAACCGTCGCTCAAACCGGATGGTTGAGATACCCAAGTTCTGAGCAGCATAAACATTCCGATAGTTGTCGTGTATGAGTATTGTTGTCAGTTTGCCATTTTGCTTGGTGTGAGACCAATATCGTGCTGGTCGATATGAGACTGAATCGGCAATATTATAACTGAAATTGTAATTGCGTCCAGTTGGATTGCATGATTCTTGTGGTACCACAGAGACATCTGAGATCTGCATGGACCGCGCCAAGATGCTGCATAAATTCCTCCGATTCCTTTTTTGTCCAAGAAACGGCGGAGGTCTTTTCAATCCTGGGCATGATTGGCACCAACTTGGTTTGGGCGTGTGGATCGATCCGAATGAGTTTGAAGCGGAAGGCCAGTCCTGTGAGTCGGGCGCTTCCGGTGGGTGCTTCACGTGGTCAAAGCATGCGAGGAATTGCAGGGTGGTTGGAAGGAGGAGATCCCTCCTTGGATCGAACATGAAATAGGTGCATTTCATTTGGGCTCAGTTTGTTATTTTGTGTTTTCAAGAGGTGAGAAGCATTGAGAGGGTCCAGGACGGAGTTTTGTGAGACCTGCTTTGGAGATCTGGTAGCCAAGAAAACCTTTACCTCTTTACCTGTATCGGTTAGCCCTACAAAGCAGCTATCAGCAAGTTCTAGCGGGGATGAACTCTTGCCTGTGCGCAAAGTGCTCGGGGTTAATTACGACCAGGCGCAATATTTTGACAATCTTCACCCAGTGGATCCAGGTGCCACTCTGTGGCGCCAAAAGACACAGCCCCTCATCAGGCGCTAGAGTCCTTTGCATGAGGAAACATATTAAATGTGCCATATCCTTGCTACTAGCAACAAGTGCATCGCTACTAGTAGCGTCCTTGCTACTAATAGTAGTGCCCCTGTTACTACTGCTTCTCTTCTTGCTGCTAGTAGCGATGCACTTGTTACTAAGCATCCTACGGAGACCTACCCCTGGTCACCTCTCCGAACCGGGCTCCGTGGACGGTGGAGGTCTTCTTGATGATTTGCCAATCCATTGCGAATCAGGTGGGGTCGGAGTGCGCAAGTTCGGGCATAGCTCCTTTCTTGGGGTGCACCTTTTAGGAGGTGTGTTTAATGGGTTTCAGGTCCAACCGCCATACTAAGTGTATGTGCGCCAAACATAGTATTTGAGGTCTTTTCATGTGGGGTCACTTTTCTTATTTTCAAAAGCGGGAAGTTCAACATGCTAGTTGAGTTTCAACATTCTAGATGTCATGAGAAATCCCAGAAGATAGCTGGTTTCATTCTATTTGGGTCTATTCTTGGATGGAGGCACCCAAAGAGGGGAAGGGGTGGTCCAGTTCTTCCCCCTTCATGGCTCACTCCCACACAGTCATCCTGTCAGCGTTTGAGGGGTCTAGAATTCATCATCCATACGAGCCGGATGCTACTAGGAGCAAGGGCATCGCTACTAAGAGCAAGAAGCTACTAGTAGCTCCTGGCCTTACTACTAGGAGCAAGGACGCTACTAGGAGCTACTTAAATTGCTAGCCGGACGGAACGACCCAAAAGGATTCAGTGAACCCCCTGGCACGACCGGTGCCGGTCGCCCCTTGGAGCTGGACCTGATGGCCAGGGGTCGATCTTTCGCTGGAGCCGCGATCAACGATGTCATTTGAAAAACAAAGGCCGGAGAGATTTCTATGGACATTTGAAAAGCATGATCTCTGTGTACTTTCAAGGGCTGTGAAAAGTGCCTCAAGCATGTGATATGTGACATACCGACCAAACTCTTACAGTCAAGTGACCATGGGCGCTGAACCAGAAGTTGCCACAAAAGCTGGGCATTCCAGGAAGCACTATCCTTTGAGTCCTGAGTCCAGCTAAATCTTTGGAGGTTTGAACTGCTCCTTCCTATGCTTTTCTTTAGCTTTGACCAGGCCCACCAGCCAGCTCACAGAGTCACATACTGTTGATGACCCAAACAGATATTGGACGGCTATTGACCTCCAACAATATTTATGTTGGGTGGGGTTCGCCAGAAGCTGTCGCAGGTACAGATGCCGATCCCTATGACCCCAATCGTGGCTTTCTTTATCGATACATTGGCTGGTTCTTGATGCACAAGACGCCCAAGATGATCGAGGCAGCGACCGAGCGGTGGAACCATGCATGAAAGCACTGGCTCAACTGCTTAGCCAAGGAACACCCTATTTGCCAAACTCATTCCTATAGCCCCCCTGAAATGTTGCCCCACACTGATGGAGACAGCATCCAATGCCTGGGACATGACCAGCGTGCACCTTTTTGGAGCTGAAGAAGGAGGACACACCTGGATCCCAAGAGCCACATCGCCTCTCGCTCGACCGACCGCATGCTGAGGCCACACGCTCGGTGGATGTCTCGGATCTCCTTTCAGATCAGGCGGAGCGGCGCTCCATGGAGCTGAGGGCCAAGCAGTCGTGGGTTTTCCTCATGGGTGAGGTTCACCTGGTCTTTGTCACCTGGATAGCCTGGTTGGTTCGGTCACTGATTGGCATGCAGAAGTTTAAGTTAAAGGTCTTAGACTAAGAGGACTCAAAAAGGTCGCTTTGAAGAAAAAGGAATCTGCAGTTCTCGAAACCTCGAACGACGACCTCGATCGTGAGTTCATGTCTCGACTCCCTCATGCTTCTTCGGCCCAATTCGTAGGGGCCCCTTGACCACCGCAGGCTGCCGCCATGGAGTGAAAAGAGGCGATCGTGTTCGCCCAACCGGATTCGTGCTGTTCAGTCGGCATCGGAAGTGGTGCATTGGTCGTTCTGCACGTTGAAGTGTTCACATACAACATTGGTTGTTGACAGTTGGCATTTCTGTTGTGTTGAAGCTACCAGTGCGTACCAACTGCACTGGTAGCGGAGCGGTGTTTGCTCCAGGGACATGTCCGAGGCCAAGGATCGCAATGAGGTGCCGAGCCGAGTTGGGATGGCAGCTCAAAGACCTGGCGTCGGTATGTGAAGGAAGTTGGCTGGCTTCTGTCTGGCACGAAAGGGTCGCAGCGCAAGTATGTTGCAGCCAAGCTCATTAGCAAGCTTACAGGTGCAGCTCGTTTGTTGTCTATGTCCTGGCATCAACGAGACTTCGAAGGAGAAGAAGGAGTTCAAGTGATGTTGAGGAGACTTGCTGCTTCTCCCCTTGTGCGCCGTAGCCTGCCCAATGCAGCTGCTACCATGTCGGCCTATTTCATGTTCCAGCGCAGGCCTGGTGAAAGCATTGCTCAGTTCCTTGTGAGGGAAACGTTGGGATTTGAGGAATTCCAGGAGGCCCTTCTCCAACTCAAGGAGGAGAAGGATGGTGTCTCGCCTGCCGACCGTTTGTTTGAGCTGCCTGAGATCACGCCTTCTGAGACCTCTGAACGTGGTGACTACAATCCATGGCGTCGTGACCAACGCTGGAGGCATTGGGAAGAGACTCCATTTGAGGAGCCTGATGATGGTTCGCCACCAGTTGAGGCCCCCGAAGGCTATGCGGCAGTTCCTCAGACCTCGGAAGCAGGTGATGATCGTGCACCTACACCTCATTCACCGGCGGGATCGCCGAACCGGACTCGGCAATCAATGAAGAGCCCCTCACGCAAGACAGAGCAACAGAAGTTAGTTGATGGTTTGGGTCCTATGGATTCTTTTTTTGGGACGTTTTACGTGGATGGAGATTGCTTGTTGCCGCCAGCCTGACAAATGATGAATGGAGAGACATCTTGGCTAGCACGGGTAACAAATTGGACTACCCCGCCATCGCTGAAGCGCTCCAGACTCTATGGGACGAACAGCTCAATCAACATCATGGACATGCAAAGGGTTCAGTCATGCAGCAACATTGGGTTGAAACAGTTGATCCTTGGTACAATGCAGCGTGGCATGAAGCCCAGTGGGAGCCAGATGACTGGCATGAGTCGGATTGGCAATCTATGGACCAGTTTGGTGCTTGGCCCTCTTCCTCAGTTGAGCCAGTGGAGAACACTGCAACCACTGCTGAGGAGGACCCCGACCTTCAAGAGGCCATGGAGGCCGAGAAAGCTGCTGAGGCCTTAGCTTTGGATGCCCGTCGCACATGGACACAAGCTCAACAGGCCATTGCTGCCTTGAGGCGAGACCGTGGTTTTGGTCAACATGCTGGTTCATCCAAGGGTGGAAAGGGTTCCGGGGGTTGTTTCATTTGTTCTGGCCCTCACCTTGCTCGAGATTGCCCCGATCGTCAACATCCCCAATACCGTAAAGGTGGTGGAAAACAGCTCACTCCGGCAGAACTAGATGCCTACCTCTTCAAGGGAAAGGGGAGAGGTGTGCGAAAAGGGAAGGACAACATGATGAGTTCTTGGGATGACCCCTACATGGCTTGGGAAGCTATGTACAATCAAAAGGGGAAACCAAAAGGGCTTGGAAAAGGTGGCAAGCTTCGATCAACAGTCAATGTCTACGGCATGGACTTTGGCATGGACTTTGGAATGTTGGAGCTGCAGCCACTGGAACTTGTGGAGCCCGATGATCTTTTTCCTCTTGAGCTTTTTGCCAATGAGGCCATCGTCAGCAGAACGATTCCTGATGGCTTTGGAATGCTTGACTGCGGTGCAACTGCCTCCGCAGGACCTGAAGCCTCTGTCAAAAAGCTGATTGCCCGCCTCCGTGAGCTGGATGAACAGTTGATGGTCACCATTGACCTTGAGCGTCGCCCGTTCTTTCGCTATGGTTCCGGCCGTTGGGGACAAGCTATGTACCTCACCACCATCCAGACCTCCAAGGATCCCTCCAAGTTCTTTGAAGTGTTTGCCCTGCCGAACCCTACCGAGTACTACCAGAAGTCTTTCAAAGAGCACATGTTGGTCCCCATCCTTGTCGGTATGGACTTCCTCTCCAAGGTTGTTTTGATCCTGGATTTCAAAGATGGCTGTGCAGTGTTTGGTGCCCACAACCAGTCGGAGCCCTTCACCATGCCAAAGAACTCCAAGGGTCACTTCATGGTTGACATTGGCCAGTACCTGATCGGTTCATCGTCCTCCAATGCCCAGGCTCATGCCGCCTACTCTGCGACGATGCAACTCGAGGTTGGAGGACCCAGTGATGAATGGCTTGAGCTCGCAGTTCATGAGGATTTAGTTGCAAGCACTCTTGATGAACATCATGCAGCACTTCATGTTTCAGCTTCTCAGGATGTTGTTTGCACCATGCCTTCCATGAGTGTCGGTTTTGAGATGCTGTTCAACCGCCGGAAGCAGTTGTCATCTCCTACCGCAGCCTCTGGCCTATCATCCAGGCCACCGGGTTTTTCGACTTCAGTGACTTCTGATGGCCAAGTCCTCCAAGGGGTACAAGACGTCCACACCTCTGGACCCCGAGCGCCGTCAGGGTCACGACCTCAAGGATCCTCGAGCTCAGCCATCATGTTGGCCGTGTCACGGCAAGCACGAGCCCTCAGTGACTGGAAGCAACGCTCATGGCTCATGGGCAAAGTGCGCAGTGTGTGCTCTCAGGATCGAGTACATTCCCCGCCAGGGATCACCAGCGAGCTCGGTCGTGCGCAAGGATCACACCTTTGTGCAGAAGGCTCTGGAGATGATTCAGGCCGAGATCCCCAAGGGCACCAAGCCCACCTACGAGATGGTGGAGAAGACCTACGAGTACACGGAGGCATTGGACAAGGTCCGTGCCATGAAGGCAAAGGTGTCCGCCCTGGAGATCGAGACTCAGGCCATGTTGAGCAGCCTCCAATTGCTCTACACCGGATCAAAGAAGACAGCCAAGGCCTCCGAGGCGGAGAACCTCCTGGCCCACCTCACTCCGGAGGAGATTCAGCATGTCAAGAACTTGGCATCGCAGAGGCAGCTAGGCCAGAGCTCGGCCGAGATGATTCCCTTCAGCCCGACCTCGCCAACGGACGACGATGTGGTGGTTGTCGTCACTCCGAAGGCGACAAGCCCGGTGATCCACCTGAGCTAGATGAGTCACTTGGCACTTCAGTTCCGGAGTTGCAGATTGAGTTGGATACAAAGAAGGTTCAGTTCTCTGCCACTTCCGCTGAAGTCCATGAATTTGATGCCACAGCTTTGACATCTCAGGAGACCTCCGACCCTGAGCATATACTTGTGAGACTGTGGACTTTGAGCTCCTCAAGATTGCCGACAGCAAGTTTTGCAAGTCCTTCAAGAAGGGCAGCTCACGTCGAGCCGCTCGCCAGGACAAGAATTCATCATCCTTTTCTCCAAAGACCACATCACTCCATGGTCAACAGCATGTTTCTCCAGCGCAGGAGATGGAAGAAAAGCTTTCTTCAGCACCGTCCCGTTCCTTTGGACTCCCTGTGCTTCCTTGGAGGATCTGCCAAGCCGTGATGGCTCTATGCAGCATGCTCCTCCTGACGGCCCAGAATGACCTGAGCATTTTGCTTCGTGGTCCACATCATGTCGATGTTTGGGAGATCTTCTGTGCTCCCGAGTCCTGGTTGACGTCAGCATGCCACTCGGAAGGACTGACTGCTTCACGAATCAACCTGCACCAGAACTTTGACATGTACCGTGCCAGCACCTATGATGAACTTTGGGATAAGTTCTTGCGAGAAAGGCCACGCCGCATTTGGATCTCCGCCAGATGCACTTACTGGTGTCCTTTCACATCGCTCAACTACCAGACCGTCGAGGACAAGAAGACCCTCGAGAAGTACCGTCGGAAAGAAAGAGCAATGTTCCGTCGTTTGGTGCCCTTCCTTGCAGCCGCTGTGGCCTATGATCCCAATGTTGAGGTCTTCTGGGAATGGCCTACAAGATGCTATGGCTGGAATGAACCCATGGTTCAACGACTTGGCACTGAGATGATCAATGCCAACAAGGAATGGCTCTTCGCTCGCATTGATGGGTGTCGCTATGGACTTCTTTCCTCTCAAGGACTACCTCTTCGGAAACAGTGGACCATTGCCACAACTTCGCGGCACTTCTTCACCATCTACCGTGCCAAGACTTGCACTGGCTCTCATGAGCACGACCACATCCAAGGAGTTGAAACTTCCAGATCAGCCTTCTATCCCTGGAAGATGTGCAAGTCCATCGCACAACATTGGCGGGCAGAGCTTTATCCGACAAGGTGGCTGGATCGCCTTCACTCACCAGTTGCTATGCACCTGACGGAGACGGAACAGCTCAACACCCTACAGCTCGAAGCCATGCCTCAAGAACTTGATGATGATGAGCCCAATGAAGAACTCCGAAAACAATGGAACATCCAGTTGCTCAAGTACCACAAGGCAGCTGGACATGCGAACAATTACAACTTGGCCCGCATCATCCGGGAAGCTGGTCAACCTCGATGGAAAGTCGAAGCTGCTCTCCAGCTACCATGTGATGACTGCAAGGCTTTGAAGATGGGTGGCACCTCCAGCGGAAAGATTCCGCCGGCTTCCTTGAGGCCATTGAAAGGCCTGGGAGATGGTGGGTCTTGACACCACTGAATGGACCCCACCAAACAGCAAGGTCAAACACAAGATCTTGGTCCTCATGGACTTTGCCACACACTACAAGGCCGCCAAGATCCTTCGAACTATGGATCTCTACAAGCAGGAGAATGAGAACACCACTGAGATCCTCGAGGGCATCTTTGATTTGTGGCTTTCCTCAAAGCCCAAGATGACCATCTTGGTACCTGACAATGCCAAGTCAATGGTCAGTGCACAGGCTCGAACGACTCTCTCCGACCTCAACATCCAGATCGAAGTTCCACCAGCAAAGGAAAGCTGGAGTCATGGCTTGATGGAAAGAGCCGTTCAAGAAGTAAAGACCGTCGCCTCCAAGACCACCTTGTCCTTTCCATCGCTCTCAGCCAATGCCATTTTGGCCCTTTCCATCCAGTCGCTCAATGCCACTGAGGTCGTGCAAGGCTACACGCCACACCAGTGGGTCTACGGAAAGCAGTTCAGCTTCTCCGACGAGGATGAGCGATCTATTCAACAGATCCTACCTGATGTTCCTGGCCAGGACTTCATTTCCCTCTTGGCCAATCGTCAGCAAGCAGAAGAGATTGCGAGAAAGGCGAGATCCCAGTTGGTCTTGGGCAAGCTCAGAAACTCCAAAGTCAGGCAACCACTCCAGGTCTTCCGGCCCATGGACTTGGTGAAGATTTGGCGTCGCTACTCTACTGACGGTGGCGCCCGAGGTGGCCTTCGCAAATTGGGCCATCGACAATGGCTTGGACCTGGCAGAGTGGTCTTCCATGAGGTCATTCATGGACAGAGACCTGAAGAAGAAAGAAGACACATCGTGTGGGTCATCGTGGCCGGAGCTATGCATCGATGTTCCGTCCATTCAGTCCGCAAGGTGACCGAAAGAGAACGCCTGGACTATGAGATCGGCAACCCAGAAGATCCCTCAAACTGGCGTTCCCTTGCCGACATGGTGCCCAAGAGATCGTACATCGACCTCCTGCCAGAAGAACCCACTGAAGAAGATGTGGAACTACCTCCATTACCTGATGAGCCAGATTCAACGACTCAGCAAGCACTTCGCCCTCCTGAGAAAAGGCATCGTCGCAAGAGCCCTTGGGAACCACTACATCCTCTTCCTGCTGCAGTACCTGTTGTTGCTTCTGAGGAGTACACTCCGTCTGAACCACCTCTCAACGAATATGATGAACAACCTACCTTCATCCCAGCGGATGATCAAGCGGAGGTGACTGGTACTTCCAGTCATACAGAACATCGCCCGCTGATCTCTCTGTCCTCTGACAGCTCCAAGGCAAGTGCTCCTGCTCCTGAACCTGATGCCAAGAAGGCCCGTGTCAATGAGGAGCTTATGTTGTTCACCGCCCTGGACGACACTGAGGAAGGCTGGTTGCTTCATGTGGACCTGGACTTCAAGTCTCAAAGAGAGAAGGAAAGATTTGTCAAGCATCCTTCACTCTACCTGGCCCAGAAGCTTCGTGATTGTGAAGTCCGTCTTGAAAAGCTCTCTCCAGCTCACCGTGAACTCTTTCGCAGAGCAAAGACAAAGGAAGTCAACAGCTTCCTCAGCAATGCTGCAGTTCGCAGGTGCTTGGACCAGCTGGAAGAACAAGAAGCTTGGGACAGCGGCCGCATCATGAGATGCCGCTGGGTCTTGACTTGGAAGCCAACCCCGGAGGAGGACATGCAGGAGGCCTTGAATGAAGTTGCTTCAAAGCCTGATGTCACCACCCTCACGTCCGACGGCAAGAAGAAGGCCAAGGCACGCATCGTGCTTTTGGGATTTGAACACCCTGACCTCCTTTCAGAGAGCCATCGAACGTCATCACCAGTGCAAGCTTTGCTCACTCGCAACTTGTCGTACCAGCTGGTGATGGAGCAAGGTTGGGACATTGAAGGCATTGACATGAGCACTGCCTTTTTGCAGACTCTTCCCACCGAGGAGTCAAAGCGATTGTGGACAACCGGAGTGCAGGAGCTCAGAGATGCTTTGAAGATCCCTGAACATGGTGTGATGCGCATTTTGAAGAATTTTTATGGTAGCACCACAGCACCTCGCAACTTGTGGGAGAATGTCGACCAGAGCCTTCGACAGCTTGGCGCAGTGAACATTCAGGGTGACTCATGTTTCTGGATTTGGTTTGTTGACAATGAGCAATACAATCCCAAAACAGATCCTGAGCATTACAAACTCCGTCCACTCGGCTTCATGGCTGGCCATGTTGATGATTTTCATCGCGCAGGCGATGTCAATGACAGTCGTTGGACCTCCATCAAAGCTGCAATCGACAAGCAGTACCGTTGGGGCACAGCAAAGCAAAACAGCTATCGCCATGCAGGCACCGACTTGACAATGCAGCGAGATGCAAGGTTTGGAAAATGTCTTGTGGTGGACCAACAGTTTTACATTGAGACATTGCAAGATGTTGATGTACACCCTACCAGGTTTTGCAATGGTAGTGCCACCATGACTTCCAAGGAGATTGCCGCGCGTCGGGCTTCGCTTGGTGCATTGCAGTGGCTTGCAGTGCAATCCCAGCCATTGATCAACGCTCGGTGCAACTTGTTGATCACAGAGCTGTCAACGGATCCCAAGATCCAGATTGCGCAAGAACTCCAGGAGATGATCCGTGAGCTACGGAAGGAGAGCTCCCTGTTGAAGTTCTTCAAGCTGCCCGGAGTTCGCCACTGGACTGACCTTTGCGTGGTTGGTCTGGGAGACCAGGCCCACAACAATAGGCCCCGTGGAGGGTCTACTGGTGGAATGGCCATCTTTTTGGCCAGTCCCGACGCTTTGAAAGGCGTCCCAGCTCCAATGTCTTTGGTGGCATGGCGGAGCTGGAAGCTCAAGCGAGTGGCTATCGGCACAAATGATGCTGAAATGCAGGCGATCGTTGAGACCGAGGATGTGGTCTACCGGACCAGGTTGCTTTGGGCTGGCATGCACGGCACCGGAAGCCTGTTCACCAGCCGAGATCTGCTGAGCAACTCCGATGCTCAAGTTCGCTTGGTTCCCGGTGTCCTCGGGACCGACTCGAAAGGGGGTTTCGACTCGGTCATGGTCAACGAGTCACCGCTGCTGGGTTTGTCGAACATGCGAGCTGCCATACAAGCCTATCAATTGAAACAGGCAATCAAGTTCTGCCAGACTCGGTTGATATGGTTGGCGTCCGACTGGAACCTCAGTGACGCCCTTACGAAAAAGAAGGGCGACTGTCGGCAGAGCTTGATGTTCTACTTGAAGCACCGTACTTGGCAGCTGAAGTACGATCCAGCTTTTGTGGTGTCCGCCAAGCGCTTGAAGCAGGCCACTCGGACAACACCGTCCAAGATGCTTGAGGAGAGAGTCATGAACTCAAAAGAAAGTTTAGCTGATGCAGTTCTCGAAACCTCGAACGACGACCTCGATCGTGAGTTCATGTCTCGACTCCCTCATGCTTCTTCGGCCCAACTCGTAGGGGCCCCTTGACCACCGCAGGCTGCCGCCATGGAGTGAAAAGAGGCGATCGTGTTCGCCCAACCGGATTCGTGCTGTTCAGTCGGCATCGGAAGTGGTGCATTGGTCGTTCTGCACGTTGAAGTGTTCACATACAACATTGGTTGTTGACAGTTGGCATTTCTGTTGTGTTGAAGCCACCAGTGCGTACCAACTGCAGAATCCCAAGGAAACCTGCGCGCCTGTTTATGAAGAGGACTTATTGGGAAGTGCGGCCTACAGTCGTATGACTTGTATGACCTGTTTGTCTGCCTGCCGGACATTTTGCTTTAATGCAGCAGGGATTATATAGCGCCCTCCGGCTTCAAACTGCCTGGGTAATGCGGTGTCTACATGTTTGAAGTCATCAACCAACTAGTAGACGGACTGCTTTTTGATGCTGACTCGGCAGGTGGTCATGTTCCAAGCAGATGTTGATTCCTGGTGGAACCTCTCCCTGGGTCACGCCATCCCTGCTTTCGCTCCTTGGCTTTGTTTTTGCTGGACTTGTGCAGACGATGTTTTGATTGGAGCAAAAGAAGTAGCCAAGATGTTTTTAAAATTCTGGTTGAGAGGAGGTTTTTTGGCAGCCTCCAGCCACCGAGTCCTGGCTGTGATTCCTCTATCTCGTGCTATTTTCAGAAGGTTCAAGGACCACTGCTTGATAGGGTAGAGGGAGTTTCTTTCTCCTCCCATGATTCCAGGCTTTGAAACGAGATTCCATGAGGCTTCGCGCAATTGGACCGGGTGAATGCTCACATGGATCTGGCCTGGAGCATCGATTTACCAAGGTCACCTTGCTGTGGGGCGAGGAGCTCTTCCTCGGCTGGATCATTGCCGGATGCTTCAGGCCGCGATGGCTTGCGGAATACTTTCAGTTGCAGTTGAGGTGATTGAGGTTGTCTAAAGCTGTACTTGTTGGTTCACCCCTCACTTCCACGGTTTGAAGAAAGGCCTTTGGTCGTATTCCCAGATTCAACAAACCCACATGGCCAAGAGGGTCAGTACGTGGAGACTTGCAAAACCAGTGACCGCCCTGTCTATCGCAGGTCAGTATTGGCTTTACATATCAACCTGTGGCTTGGCGATAGGTCTGTGGGGAGGGAGGGATCACTGATGGCTGCCAGATTCCAGTTTTTTGGCACTCGTTTGCAGAATTCTTGCTCGGGCACCAACCAGACTGGTGTTGAGACTGGAAAACCTGTCTGGATTTGCCCTAGGAGAATTCGCACCTGTTTGATCAGAGAACCCCTCCCTCTCGATGGCAAACAGTATCATCAGAACTGGACTTCATTTCCGCCTAGAAGGTGGATCCTCGCTCTGTCGCACACTTGCGGTCGATCGGGGATGGACAACAATCCAATCAACTCAGCAAACCCATGACAAAGTGCATGCATGAATTTTATGTTCGGAAGACCACCAAGAGGGCTACCAATATGTTTAACATATATAAGTTTCTCTTTTACCGAGCTTTTGGATGCCAAGCCTTTTGCAGATCTCTGGATTTGGGCCCTAGAGTAGATCCAGTAAGGCCCCCAAAGGTCCCATGTGAGTTGCTGCAAGTATCAGGCCACTAAGGATAATGAACGGATGACCTGATTCCTCCGCTGAGGACCTTGCTTCGGCTCCAAAACTTATGGGCCCCACAGACCGTGACCTTCACGGGCGCAGACTCCTCGGAGGAAGAGGAGGTCGGAGATGCTGGTGGGTAGTGGGTCTCCATTTGTAGTGTCAAGAAGTCAATGGGAACCTTCTTCCCTCATGGGAGGAGATTTTTGGCACAAAAGCAGCCCAGACACGATGGGGATGGAATGCATTCAACCTTTCACAGAATGACATCCTGCAAAACTCTCGCCTCTTTGTTTCTCTATCAGCAAATCTTTTTGTGGGTCTCCCTCGCAGTTGTGAAAAACCATGAGCACTGGCGGGCACTTGCAGGGGCTCAAATCCGGTCTTCGTTCCAGCCAGGCTCAGGAGGGCCGCAGCAGTGCACGCCAGGCCCAGAGTACTCCTGGAGATCTTTAATGCCAAGATTTACCAATGGGTCATAAGTCATAGGTGTGAGTCAGAACTGAGTGATGGCTCAGCCCACAAAATGAACAGACTACAACACAATCTTTTTTTCGGTATTGATCCACCTTGGTTTGTTCGAAGATCTGTCACCGAGTAACTTTGAGGAAGAACTCCAAAACTGACAATGTGAGTTTTGGGTGTTGAGGCAATCATTCAACCGATCATGGAGGTGAACATGTTCTGGCCCATGGATGGCTACTCCCTTATTCATCAGTATCAGGGTACGCTGACCTGGATCCCAAAGTTTCAGCCACTCGAATGTGAGCTGCTTAAAAGGACCAGTACTGTAGTTGTGGAAATCATTTTGGAAACCCATCCAGCCAGTTGAGGAGTTAAGGAACCGATCACCAGTGTAGATGCAATAGATGCAATGTGGGTTCAGTTGATTGCTTCGAACTCTTGGGACACGTGCATTTTGCTTGCAAGACCCCCGGCTTTAGGATGCACCTTCTAACATCGACCTAGAACCTCCAATAACATGGACATTGCTGGGCTGCACGAGGACAATGAGGAGGGTGCAATTCTTTTTCGATTCCGGTCTCAAACTACAGGTGAGCAGACCTTCAAATGGCCGATGCTCTCGTTTAGCTTCACCAGTGCAGGGCGCACAGGCGGAGCAGAGCCGCCGCCAGGGCGCCGCGCACCAGCCGGCGATCTTGCGCTCGGCGGCTGGGCGAATGAGATCCATCAGGGCAGCCCCGCAGACTGTGCAGTTATCAGACGATAACTGATAACTGGAAGTATATAGTATTGTTATACAAAATCATAGAACAATGAGTCAAGTTTTGAGAAAGCAACAAGGTGATTTCTGGGACATCATGAATAGTTAAATAGTTATTTGGTATTCTGTTTGGTTGGGTCCTTCAATCTGGAGAGAGAGAGAGAGAGACACAGAGATGGTATCGCTATATACTGAAAGTTATTGAACAGCAGGCCTTCGTACTTCATGATGTTGTGTGTGGAGGATGCACCGTTTGACTCTCAGGTTTTCTTTCTTCTATCCAAGACTCGAGGGATCAAAAGGTGCAGCGTGGTCTACTGATTGGCTCGCTAGGGTCACTTTGGGGCACCGTTGTCCTGCCCATTGGGCCCATCACCAAGTCACTATTGAGGAATCTTCAAGTTGGGCAACACATTCTGAGCCAAGCAGTAAGTGATCTGAGTAGATGGCACACGCACAGTTCAATTGATTTCGGGCTGGGGCTGATACAGACCAGTATTAATGATCAAGATTCAAGACACTGTATGTAAATCACCCAAACCTTGAGATCTGTGCCATGGACTCGGGAAGCACTGTATGTCCTTTGGATTTATATACTCGGAAGCATATATACATGATTTCACTTCCCAACGCAAAAATGCTCAAGATCGCTTTTTTGCTTCTGAGGCTTCCATTGCCGATGCCCAAAAGCTCATAGAAGAGTCCAAGGACGTTTATCCCAACATCGGGCGTGGCGTGGGGGATGGACATGCAGCTCAACATGCACCGGTTTGTATGGCTCAACTTGTTTGGAATTGTTTGGATGCTTGGAAGCTCGGGCAAAAGCCCTTTGGGTTTGTTCAAATCCTGCTGAACAAGGTGTGGCAAGAAACCACGAGGATCCACAAGTCAAAACATTGCAGTACTGCAAGGAAAACAGAAGGACAATGAGTAGAGGAGCAGGCTACAAGACAAAACACAGCTCGCAATAAATGCGACCATGAAACCAAATTATTCAAATTCAACTAAGACATCTGAAGAGGGGATGCAATCCAGGAATCAGAACAGTTACTTGCAGAGAATATCAAGATATCAAATCCAGAAAGCCAAGAATGGACCAGATACAGTGTATCCTTTCTTCAGAGGCGTCACATGTTTGATGCATTGTTGATGGCTTTCCTGCCGTCATCTCCCTTTGACCTTCAGGAGGGTCCGGTTCCCCTCCCGGACAGCTCGGGCAGCGCCGATGATGGCGGGGGAGTCTTCGTGAAGTACAAGGCACGGTGTGAAGCCTACGGAGCCTGGGAACTTCCTGAGCCAGCGGTCGGCTGGACTTCAGTTGCGACAGTGGGAAATCATTTGGTCTGGCTCTTCGATTTGTCAAATCCTATGATTTGAAGGAAGAGCTGCACCAGACTCTTAAAATTTGAGTCCGGGTGTTTGTCAGAGTGCGCTGTTTTATGATTTTTAGTAGTGTTATAACATAATAGTTTTTCAAATAGATTTCCTTTAAAATGTATGTTTGTTAAATAAACTATATTCTTTTTAACAATTTGTGCCTTAATAATGGACGATTAAATCATTCTAATGTTTGATACTGTTTTCCTAATTTTGTTGCAATGTTTTCTACTGTATATTCACCTTGTAAAAAATGATTTGTTCACTCTTTCTCTGTAATTGCTTTCTTCCTCATTATTTTTACCCTGTCTCCCACCTCTAGTGTTGGATACATATTTTCTTTACTTGCTTTCACTGATACATTCAATTTTGCTTTAAACTCATTCTTCTCTTTCCTTGCTTCATTTGGTGTTAGTCCTGTTGCACTATGCACATCTTTATTATAAGTCAGAATTATTTCTAATATGTAGTCAGTCCATTGTATATTCTGCTTTCCCTTCTTCTCATCATTTTCAACTCTTTTGAATGGTTTATCCTTAAATATCCTAAAAATCTTTCAGCGAAGACAGGATGTCCTCTTGCCCTCAATGCCTTCACCATCAGCACTTGCTATACCTCTTTCATCATCAGTATACAAAAGCTTGCACTTCTTTCCCATTTTGTGTAAGCCTTCCATAGTTCCAGCAATTATGGCAGGTGGGGTTAAGCCTTCCATAGTTCCAGCAATTATGTCAGGTGGGGTTTTACTCTTTATTGGCACTACCACAGCATATTTACTCAGAACATCTATCATTACTAAACCCGCTCTAAATTGTTGTGTTGCTTCAATGTCATCAGGTTTAAAAAAAATAACAAAAAACAATATGTCAAGTTGGTAGGTATGATTATTATGAGGTGCTACAAAACTGTTCTGACCTCTGTGTTTTTTCTTTATCTCAACATTTTTTCTAAAAAAGAATATTCAACATCAAACAGTTTTATTTCAGAATCTTTTTTTGCATCTCTTAAAGTTGTTGCTTTACTTCCATATTTTCAAAAATAATCAGTGAGCACTACAATTACAATACTTACAGTATGGAGTGCAATTATCCACAGAATGGCACAGTGTATTGTCTAGTCTTTGTGCTGTGAAGTTTTTTGATAATTTGCCTTGCTTCATTTCAATATAATATATTATTCCACAGTGGGCACAACAGCCATGGAAATGATTCAAACATCAATGTTCATTGATATAGTTGTCTTCATCTATTTCTCTATCAGCCACTTTATCCTGTTTTTTGTGTTCTTCAATCTTGTTTTTTAAATATCCTATTACTAAATTATTTTGCATCTCTTCATCTGCGTTTTCATTCTGGAAATTTGTAGTCTTTTGTATTTATGAATACTCAAAGCATCTGGTCATATCTGAAATGTCTCTATCTGGTGCAAAATTTCCAGAGGTTTGGGAATTTGGTGGTTCCAAAAAACCTGGGGTTTCCAAAAAACCAAAAAAAACAAAAAACAAAAAAAAACAATTTTCCAGAGGTCTTTGCACTTGAGGCTTCTGCAGAAAGAGTTTTGACATATTTTTTTTGTTTTTGTTTTTTGTTTTTTGGAAACCCCAGGTTTTTTGGAACCACCAAATTCCCAAACCTCTGGAAAATTGTATTTTTTGGTATTTCTGAATACTCAAAACATCTGGTCCTATCTGAAATGTCTCTATCTGTTGCAAAAGTTACAGAAAAACATCTGCAAATCATTGTCTCTATCTGGTGCAAAATTTCCAGGAAAAAACATCTGCAAATCAATGGAAAACCGCACTCTCAGGGACACCCGTTCTGTAAAATTTTAGGGTGTTGTATACATTGCAGGTGGTGTATTATTTTTCTACCTTCAACACTAGGTGCTACAGTTGATTCAGATGGAAGAGCTCCTGCACCAGATTAGATGTAGACTACTGTTCACAACTTTGGCTTGTTTTGTACATCCTAGGTGGTGCAACATCTGTCCTTCAAGAGTAGATTTCGTTGGGTTGCGTAGGCTGTTTGCTTGGGGGTTTTCCAAGGGTGAGGCCACGATTTTGTGGGTTACTTCCAGGCAAGCCGGGGAGTGATATCTGATAAACTGATACACCCCACCCAGGAACATTCACTTCTGTTCCAATGGATGAAGTTCAAGAACCGCACAGCCTGACCTCACCAATGTCGGACACTTTCCAAGCCAATAGTTGGAGTATGTTGGAGTTCTACGCACTGAGTTGCTTCATCCGCAGCACTCTCACTCATTCTGTGTTCACTGCAAGTTCGGGTGGCTTTTGGCCACTTCGGTGATGTGAAGCTCATTTTAAAAGTCTCAAAAGTCGAGAATCAGCTCTACCTTCAGTGCTCAGTTTCGGTCTGAGGGTCTTTCGCTGATCCAATCTTTGGAGCAGGTGCCACTGACAACAGGACTGACAGGCAGTGTAAGACCCATGGTTCTCAAGATTGTTTGGTAATTACTCTAAAGCTCCAAGTTCCTTCCCGCCTTTTCTTTCATGCGACGAACTCACCACTTTAGGCTTCGTTTGCCCGCAGGTGAATGAGACCAGCGGAGGTGACTCCTCGGTGGAGGTGCGGCTGGAGCCGCTGTGGCGCCGCAGCACACTGGTGGATTTAGCGAAGGCCGGGCGGCCATGGATGAGGGGTTTGGTCGGAGATTGGATGGTGGAGGTCCAAACTAGAGTCTAGAGAGGATTAGGTGATGGAAATCTGTCCTGTACAAAAACCGCCATCTCAAAAGACAGTGCCAAAAGTTTGGAGGGGTTACGGTTACAGTAGATCTAATGGGAATCGTCCTCTCTGACCTCCGAAAATCATCCGCAAGGGTTACGCAGGTGCATAAGGATGATGGTACAAATAAATTGAATAATCCTTGATGATGTCCAACCTGCAAGGATTCGCAGGGGTTTAACGGGCCATCCGTTGCTGCGAGGATGCCGTCGCTGACATCCTGCAGGCCGGAGAGCGGTCAGACGATTCAGTTGGTGGATTGTCTTGGTCTTCTCCAAGGCACAGAGTAGAAGGTAGAATGACTTGACCCCAGAATAGATTGAACAGTCAGTCCTGCACTAGAACATCATATCATGTATCTTTCAACATCGTTTCGCTTTGGATTAGATTAGAGACAACATCTGTCAGACACTTCATAATTGTGGAATTTCGTGCGCTCACCCACTCGGTTCCACGCCAGGTGCCTGCGGTCAACGTGAAGCCCGACCGGCCCCTGATGGATTTGGGTTTCGACTCAGCTGGCGCCCTCCGGTTGCGGAACAAGCTCGCCAGGTGGGAAGGGGGCGAGGTGAGTCACGGTGGGTCGATGTAAATGAAGCGCCTCTGTGCGAAACCGTTACTGAAGATGCACCAGCGTTCTGCTGGCAACGAAGTATGTAGTAGCCGGCTCATTTCGGTTATCTGGGGGTATGTGGCACGATGAAGCACTCATGTGGTTCAGGATTTGGGGTTTGCCTGTGGACGTACAGGCTTGAATGCCTGCAAGAGCTGCTGGCGGACATGGGCATTTCCTTGTCACTTAACTTTAGGTTTTTCAGAATTGCCGCATTGCCAGTGTTTGACATCTGTGTTCAGCGGCCATCGTTCATTGCGATGAACGACCCGCAAAATTTGGGATTCTGAGAGGCACCTTAATTATGCATCCCTTTGGAGTATTTTTTGGCTGGTGAAGTGGCAAAAAGCTGTGAAATGCTATGAAATTAGGAATCAACAGTTAGGCTGTCATGTCAAGCACTTGTTGAAGACTTGTAAAATGCAGCACCGGAAGGGCCGGAGTTAGGGAGCAAATGCACAAGTCACCATTTTCTTGTCACCGGAGATGGACGTGCAGGGGAACATCGAAATTCCAACCATTCCTGGACCATTCCTCAAAGAATGAACACGGCACGTACTGCCTCGGTCGGTTGGGTGAACAGGGCAGTTGTTGGGGAGGCGCTTGAAAATTGAGCTTCCTCCCACGCTGCTCTTCGATCATCCCACCATCAATGCGCCTCAGACAGCACTCATCCATGGAAGGGAATAGGAGAGGAGATTGGGACACGTCGGCCGCAGGGTACACTTGGCCACCCGGAAAGAACCAACGAATCATGATCTTTTGTTAGAGCCATTCTTAGATACCAAAAACAGGTTGAATATCTGACTGTGGCGCCTGATGGAACACGCACAGATGCATTCATCTAGAACAACCTTTTGGGTTATATACAGTATTTGAGTCCATCTAAACCAACCTGCTAGCCCGCTGCGAGTGAAAAGTAGAGGCCCCTTAAATGTCCAGCACTTGGCACAGGACTCCGCGTTCTGTTTTTCGTCCCATAGTGTCATTGAATACAGCCTACGTGTTGTGTTTCTTATTGTTTCTTTGTTTTCTTTGAATGGAAGGGGTAGATTGCCTCTTTGTTCCAGAGTTTGGCAAAGTGAACAATATGAGTTACTGTACTGTGCTTCGATTTTGAAAACTGTTGGGCTCCATGAGACTTTGGTTCCCCGCCAAACTCTGCAGATCTTTTTTTCCGATGTACTCTCCTGTTCCCAATCTCTGTTGAGGACAAACGGCGCATGTTTGAAATCACCTCAACCCCTGGATTTCTCCCTTGATTCCAGCCAAAAAGATGTAGACATCACCAGTCAAATCCCTGTTGTGGCCTGGTCCCCTCCAGTCACTAGTACTTGCTGAGCTCTGAGGACATGGTGGATAACGGCCTGGCTCTCCTCTCCAAGCGCCCGATGACCCCCGTGGGCGACAACCTTCCCATCACGGGCGCGGCCCATCCTGCGCCGGCAGCACAGCACGCCCCTGGGCTGCGATTTTAGGGTGCAACTTTTTGTCAAAACTCCCCCCGACCAGCGTGAGAGGTGGACACAAGGGCTGGAATTGGAAGATCCATCAAGCTCCCTTGATTGGAGGACAAAACCCTCACGTTGGGATTTCCCGGACTGACCACAGGTGGGTGGCAGTTGTAGTCAGTCATTTTCGCTCAGGTGATGGTTTCAACATCCTGTCACTTGCCTGGTGGTGCAGATAGCAGCTTGGATGACATGATAGGTAACTGTTTCCTCCAGTTGGCTTCACAAACATGATTCATGAGCCTATTTTTCTGGCTGTTCTTGAGCCGAAACGTAAGAAAGAAGGTGGATGAAGGTGATTAACCTTCAGCTTCCCTTTATCAGAGATTGTATGCACTTTGTTGGACAGGCCTTTCACTTTCACTACTGCAAGTTTCAAAAAGAGTCTCTTAAAATTCGTCGAGTCAAGGGAGCAGCTACTATTGGTCGTTCCGAACCAAGGCTTGAAAGGCTATTGGTCCTTGCTGGCGGAGAAGCGCGATGCAGTGGTGGAAGTGCCCTTGGCTCGTGGCTCGCTTGGGTTCAGCTTTCTGTGAGAGCTTTTTATTACTACTAGTAAGGCACTTGTTCCTAGTAGCGTGGCACTTGTTCCTGAGTCTGACATTTCTTGCAGATCCCGATGATATATCTTCATTGTGGAGGTTATCAGTATTGGTTCATGCAGGGACGATAGTTGATTTTGGAGCGTTGCGACATGCTTGAGCAAGTTGTACAAACTTATGGAATGCTGGCAATGGACATGGTTTGGCAGACTCCCCCACTGTTTGGCACACCATCCATGGTTGCTCCTCTCATCAGAAGTTGCTAACCTCGAAGCGACGAAGCGAGGCTGGGATCATGAGCTTTACTATTCTAAAGAGCCTCAGAAGGGCAAGACCTATGCTCGGCACGGCGGCTTCGTGGAGGCCGCGAGTGCCCGGACCTTCTAGGATGAGCTGCAGTTTTCTTCGGGTTTGGTTGGATCAGCTGCAAGATTCTAGGTCTGTTCAAGCCTTGTGGATTCTTGTAGGTCCTGGCAAATCCAGGTTCGCACTTGAAATTGTTTGGATGTCGACAGGGCACCGACCTCTTCGACGTGAGCTACTTCAACTTGGGCACTGCCGAGGCTGGTGCAGGGAGCAGATGGTGAGCAGATGGTGAATTTCAAGAGCCTGCTGAGGCCTACTGTTGACGGAAGAGACACTGACACCACCCATGATAGACAAAACCCATTGGTGCAGGATTTATTCCACCAATTGTGATGATCCTCACCACTTCTACCGAGGCCAAAACCACAGATCCGCAGCAGCGGATGCTGCTCACCGCTGCCTATGATGCTCTGCATGGGGATGGCGGGGCTTTGCTCAGCGCGAATTGGGGGGAATGGTGGGGGGAGTGGGATGTTTGTGCGGTGGGACTTAACAGGTTTACTCACTCTCGCTAAAGAATGGAGCCAAAACGATCCCTAAAGATTAGTATCCGCTTAGTGCTCTCTACAAACCAATGGTTTTCAAGGTCCTTGCTGCACTACTGGGGGGATTAGGTCCCAAAAACTGTTTATCCAAAGTTGTTTACTGTAATTAAGGTGGTGGACACCACTATACTGTAGAATGTACTCTTCAAACAAGGAGCGCCTCAAGAAGATGAGGATTCCTTGCTTGTTGGGCAGGATGACGCATTGGCTGGGGCCTCTTTAGCGCTCAATCATCCAGCTATCCCCACTCTCGAAACCCAGTCGTTTTCTTGTTTGCAAAGTGACGTCTAGATGCATTGTGCAACCTCTGACCAAGGGCCTATACATCCTATACAAATCGATGCAAAATACCCTGCTGGCCATGGTAGATCAAACAGCGACTATAGACTCATTTCTTCATTCCTGGGATGTTTACCAGGATGAAGTGACCCACAGCCACTTGGCGCAGGGTATGACAAAGCACTGCTGCAGAACAACCCTTTGGCACCTCGTCTATGAAGTCGGGCCGAAGCTGATGGGTAGCATTCTAGATATATATTCTAGCAACCATTTCAAAATGAGATTCTTTACATCAAACCGAATTGTTTGGTGATTGCCAATTATCTTGGAGTGGTTGCAAATAGGGTTTCCATGTTGCACCAACATGGTGCTGACACCAAGTTGTGGAAAGCGGGCACATGAGGGCGGAGATATGCAGGTGCCTCACTGACGAGTGACGAACATCAGCCCACAGTGCAAAATCACAACCCACTCACTGAAGAACGGAAAGGACTCCCCACAGGGATGTTTTGCAACATTGATCAAAAGTCCTGAAGCATCTACGTTTGTACGTTTCAACATGTTTCAACACCTGACTCGTGGAATCTCCCAGTAAGAATAACTTGAAGAGTATGACTGTGCCCCATAATCTGAAAACCCACCAAGGGCGTCTTCACTGCTTTGAGCAACCTGGACTGGTACCAGCTGGTGGTGCCTGACGCTGGCGTCTACACGGGCCCCGGGGTCTCCAGTGCAATCGCCGCCAACCGCATCAGCTGCGCGGCGTGATTTGCAGGTCTTCTCAGGGTTGCTGTCATCATCTTCTGCCGTTGTGTCGTAAAGATTCGTACACATACTATCACTTTTTTTACACCAAGCTTCTTTGCTGATGTTGAGCAACATAATCCCCTTTGACGGCCGTTTCTACTGTGTGGAGTTCATGGAGGTTGTCACAACTTGGTGATATGAAGGAGGAGGAAAGCAGGATCTTGGATATTCATCTAGGGAGATGTTCAACTAGGGATTGCTATAGATGTTAGAGCATATCATTTCACCCATCACCTAGAGGATTGGAGACCTTGAGAAAAGAAACAAAGCCAAACCCAAAGTAGCTATAGTGGCTCCAAATAGCAACATCCAAGACGCTTTCAATTGTGCGAGGAGTTCACTTATTTATGCAATTGGGGGTCGCTGTACACAGCACCTTTACTAAGGCTATGTTTTCGGCCTCAAGGGCCCCAGTATGACCGCCCGGGCGCCGAGTTGGGACCCGATCCGCATCTCACTTCGCCGGGCCCAAACTCTAGGACCCTCCCGAACAGAATGCGCAAGAGAAACATTCCTTGTCAGGGATGTCAGTCTACCAGCCAAACAGGGTTGTTTGGGTGTGTTTGGTTTAGTTTGGGTGGCAAGATCAGCTTGTGCGTTCCTCGCGCTAGGGGCAACTATGATCGAGTTGTCTAGGTCCTTCGTTCAGATTGTACTTCAGCCAGATCGGATCGGAATGCCAATGCAGATTGCTCCCTGCTGGTGATGCTCTCGTGTCACGTGCCCAGATCGATACGGCCTGTTCCTCATCCCTGTCAGCGCTCCATGCAGCCCTCCGCCTCTTGGAGAAGGACGCCCTTCAACGGACAGACGTGTTCAACACTGGACAAATCCAATTGGACCGAGAACATTCCTTGAACCGGTCAGAGGGTCGAATCTTACAGTGTCAAAGGACATTGGCCGTTACATTTTGGACCCGCCAAAGAAACTGCACAACAGAAGTTGGTGTTGTTTGACAGATCAGGTGTTCCCAAGGGTTTTTCTTGGCAATTGGACCGCCATATGAATGTGCTCTCCGGCAAGCAGCAGCCATGCCCTTTTCGCGATGGACGTGGTCGGTGCCCGGCCATTAGATAACTTATGTCGCTGGGGGGTTGTTTGGCTTCAAGGGATCAGCTGGCCTGGTTAAAAAACGGTGACCATCTAACAATCTATTGCCGTGGGGATATCTCATCCTCGGACAAACCCATACAGCCATGGCTCAAAACATTGGATACCTCCAAAACGATATGTTTTGCAATTTCCATCCTTTGCAAGATGTCCAGGGTGGTTTCCAGGAGGATCCAGAAGGAGCAGATACATGACCCTGACAAGCTGTCAAGTATTCGCGGTTGTGCTACGCAAGGGGTGTTGATTTGGGGGCCACCTTGTCGGTGGTTTTAAGACAAGCCCTCAACTCGTCTGAGGCTCCATGGAGGCCGCAGACGCGAGAAAAGGGGGAGAAGGGGGGATGGGTAAGGGGTCGAGCGCACTGCTTGAAGCAAGCGTTGGACGTGCAGATTGGACTTTTCTACTGGATTAGTACGTGTCCCAAAGTCCAAATTCAAAACATCCAGACATCTGGGGCTTCCTAGTAATTATGACTTGACATTTGTCTTAAACAGTTCCTTCTGAGGAACTCACTCTTTTGGTCAATTCAAGCGAACCTTCGCACTTTTCAGTCCCAACCTGGCAGGCCTTTCTCTAGTGGCCTGTTTGAATTAGACCATAGAGGGATGTGCTTGATCAAACAATTCAACTTCCTTCCTCTCTTTTTTGGTGTGTTTGTCTCCATCCAGACCAGCTCTTCCGGTGAGGCACGAAAGAATGTTGCAAGCGCCGCCTCGCGCGGTGCCTTGCTGAACGCTGCGGAGGTGCTGCTCAGCGCTGTGCGCATGAGCTGGGGCGGGCAATCGAAGGGGGATTTGTTGGCCCCTTTCCGATTGCTCATGGCTGGCAATGTTTGTTCTACAGCAGGTGTCTTGTATGCTAAGAACTAATTATCCAATATGCACCACACCTGTTGGAGGGTCTTGGAAGAAGTATCTAAGTCTAAACTCACGTTTCGAATTCCTCGCTGGAGCTTTTCTGGAGTGGTCGCCAGGTGCGATGGATGTCTGGCCACAAAGACATGAAATCCTGGTTTCTCCCACATATCTGCACCTTTCAGGGTGCTGTTTTTTCCTAGCTTCTCTCATCGCTGAATGCCGCCCTGTGCCGTCGCACCGCCGCGAGGTGCTGCATGGCCCGAGCAGCTTCGTCCTGCGCTCCGTTGCAGGGATGCTCTCGCCGGATGGGCGCTGCAAGACCTTCGACGCCACAGCGGATGGTGTCTGGGTCGAGAGGAGGGTGGAGAGGTAGGGTGCAGGGCAGAATGCACAGATCCGCCCAGGCTAAAGGGGGAGAAGCCGAATCCTATAAATGAGAACATATTATTCGAAAAACATGTCTTGGACGTTATTTCTATTTATTTCGAGACGTCAAGGAAACCCATGTGGGACACTTGGGACTCACGGCTACATCCGAGGCTACATCCGTGGCGAGGGTGCAGGCGCCATGTTGCTGAAGCCTGCGGAGAGCGCAGAGGAGGGAAGGTGCCTGCGCCTCGCAGAGGCACGCTGAAGGGATTGGGGTTGGAGATATGTGGAGTGGGTGGGTTTGGTCCAGAGAGTGAACCTTTTCGAACACTAATAAGAATTTTCATGACCCCAAGAGGTACAGTGGCCGAATGCCGAGGTTGAATTGGTGGATCAATTAGAGTTGCAGACATGTAGCTGTACTCAATCGATGGTGCTGCGAATGTGGCATGGTGTAGCTGAGTGAGGTTGCGACAACCTTTCATGTTCCAGCTTGTGTACTTAACTCTTTTTCCAAGGTGTGGATCCACCATGACATTCTGTGAAGATCAAGCCTCCTGACACCACCAAATCCACTTCCAGATGAAGTGCGCGGAGCTCGCCCATGAATAGTGCTCTGAATGGACCCAGAGTAGCATACTGAGTGAGCGAAGCCCTGAGTCATTTGACCGTTTTGGACCGTTCGCCAGGTTCGCGCAGTAGTGGCTCACCTGCAAGCAGACCTACACTTACACTAAAGAAGCTGCTCAAGGGTTCCTAGAACTTGAACTAGTTGGATGCTCTAGATTCTCTCTTGTCGCCTTTCCACAATGGAACCACTCTTTGGTCCATTCACTCCACTCCGTCTTCTGTTCTGAGAAGAAGGGTTGTGGTTCAAGGCACAACACCTCACATCATCTTCCAGGCCATGCGACAAGCTAAGGTGATGAACCAAGATGGCAAGAGCGCCACCCTCACCGCACCCAACGGCCCCTCGGCGCGCATCCTTTGTCCCGCAGTCCCGCAGTTTGTTTGCTCCACATGGTCACCACAAGTGTTGAACTTGAAAAGAGCCACAGAGCTAGCACAGCTAGCAGATAGAAGATCTCTTGCCATGAGTTTCTTCCCCGGACCCCGACCCCGACGGGGCTTCATTGAGGACCTAGCCAAGAGGAGCTCCTGGTGATGGCTCTCAGGGAGGCTCATTTTCCGGCCTCGGCGCTGAACGCCTTGGAGTGCCCGGGAACCCCAGGCGGTGCTTATGCAACCTGCTGTGGAAAACCAGGTGATCAACAGATACAAGGTGTGGGAATGAGCAGTTTTCCCCTCTTTCCAATATGGTTGACCACTGGTGGCTCTTGTTCTTTCTACATGCTCAAAATTTCTTGTTCGGCTTTGCAGGGGCTGGATTCTGTGTTCAGAGGCGGACCCTTTTCGGGGGTGGTTGTTAGACCCTAAGCAGCGGCTTGAAGGAACCCGTCACCAACTAGCACCCACCCAGAGGACCCTAGAAGAGGTTGAGTTGAAGAAGCTGGCAGATAAGTTCTGTTGCCTTGCTGCTGCAGCATCCTTGATGGATCAAAGAAGGTAGAACTAAGAATTGAACATATTGGAACACTATTGAGGCCCATGCTGACCCTCATTGGATAGTGTCGGTGCCAGTTGAATTGCTCCCCACAAATTTAAAAGCAGCTACCATAAAGACTATAGAGCTTATTAAAGATCACTCCAAGACAGCTAAGCCATGGGATCTTGTTCGAGTCGCTCAGATGACGGCTTCAAATCGGAGCATCAACAGCATGCCCCCATGTGGGTGGTGAAGGTTGAGCATCTTCTGAAGATGAGGGAGAGATTCCGGCCACATCAAACCTTGAAGGCCGAAGGTCTTCTGGAAAAGTGGAGTCCGAAGATGTTTACGATCTTTGTCTCGCACCAGTGGCTGGGCCGCCATCATCCTGATCCGAATGGAGAGCAGCTGCGAGTGCTGCAAGGCTGCTTGAGCAACTTGATTGCCAGGAAGCTCAAGATCGAAACGGATGTTCTGTTGCAATGGAACGGTGGCAGACTGACCGAAGCAGAGCTCCGTCAAATACGGGATGCGTACCTTTGGTTAGATTACTTCTGTGTGCCTCAGCTTGTGGACGACCATGCAGATGGACTGGCCGAAGATCAGCTGCAATATGTTCACACTATTCCCAGCTACGTGGACCATTGCAATCTTTTTCTGGCTTTGGTGCCAAAAGCTCGCCACGAAACAGGATCACCATGTTCCTTCCACAGTTGGCTTGCCAGGGGTTGGTGTCGTACAGAGCTTTGGTGCCATTTCCTCTCCTCCAAGGTGCCTATCGTGGCCGTGAAAAGCCATGATTTGGCGCAATTCGTGAAACCTCAGTGGCATCGTTACCCAGTACACTTGGGGGACTTTGGTGTGGAGAAGGATCGCTCTTCCTGTAGAAGTGTTATTCGAACAGCATTGACCCAATATCTTGCCCAGCTGAGTCTCGCCAAGAACAAGACTGTCTACCGACTGTACTTATCACTTTTTGAAGATATGACAGGTCTGGCCAGCGAGCTTCGCAGCGTTGAGGAGTTCCTAATGGATTTTTCCTTTTCGAAGCCTCTCAACCAGCACCGCGGCCTTGGCCCAGTGGCTTGCGCGGCTCTGTCCGGAGATGTCGAACTCATTCGCAACCTTGTCATGGCCAAGGCCTCCCTTCAGAGCCATATGCCAGGTTTGCCCGAGGTCATGAACCTTCCAGACTTCACGCCAGTGCATTTGGCTGTGTGGTTCAGAAGCCAGGACCTACGCATCTTGGAGACACTCTTGGACTTGCGCGCTGACCCCAACAGCTGCACCTTGAATGTAGATCCACCCCTTGGCTTTTGCCGCACAGCTGGAGCTGTGGAGCTTTTGGTTCGGCATAAGGCAGGAGTGAATCTTCAGGGAAAGACCTTGGGACAACTGTGCCCCATCCACAGTGTGGCTGCCTTTGGAGCTCCATGCGAAGTGCTGGCCACCCTGCTGGAGCTTCGAGCGGATGTGACGGGCGGTAGGGGAGGGTTTGCAAGTGCCTCGCCTTTGCATTTTATTGCATTCTGTGGTGACTCCCCGAATGAGCTCAGGTCAGCCCAGCTGTTGCTGGAGAGCAGGGCAGACATGAACCAAGTTTGCCAACCGGAAGGCCTTTTAGCAAGGAGCGTCCAATGGATCTCTCAGGCCTACAGCAAGTGTTGCAGCAAGCCGAGTGCAGTTGTGAGATGGCTTCGGGATGTGAGCAGCACGCCTTTGGGCTGGTGCGTGACTTTTGAGAACGAAGACTATTTGGCTTTCTTGCTCCGTGCAGGAGCAGACCCAGAAGTGCGGAATAGCAGGGGTCTTCGACCGATTGACATGGCGGGTGCTGAGAGAATCCGAAGGATTTTTCAAAACCCTACACCACATGTTTACCTCCTAGAGGACAACTCTGAGCTGGTCATCGAACGTTTGTGACCCAAAATGCTTCTTCGTTGGCCCTGGTCTACACAGATTTACTCGAGTGTGACCTGTCCTCTTTGAGCCAATGTGCCGAACGAACAGGATCTAAGAAAGAGGTACCCACCCAGAGCACCTGGCAAATGCAACAGCATCATGCAATACCACTTATATAGGTGATTGCATGAGCTTATGAGCTCGCGTACTTCATCGTATTTCAGTCATTCTTGCTTAGCTTAGCCTTTCCTTTCAGACATCTCTTTATGTTTTGGCTTTGGAGGGCTCCCGTTGTGCCTTTGCTCATCTGCACGAGAACCTCCTGGTCTTCCTAGGCCACGGCACGGGCACCGCCCTGGGCGACCCCATCGAGGTTGGTGCCATCAAAGCGGCCTTGGGGTGTCTTGGTGAACTGCTGTGGCGATTATGAATCGATGGGTGTGAGAGTGGGATGATTGGATGGATGGAGATTGAGAGTGGCCGGGTCAGTCTTTTGTGCATTTCTTGCAGTGTGTGAGTGTGTGAGTGTGTGCCCATCGCTTGGGTTTGACGGTTTGGACGTTTGAGATACGTCTATGAGTCCGTCTCGCCAAGGCGGCAGGAAGAAGGAAGCCCACAGCTCTACTTGGCAGTGCCATGGCAGGGATGGAGCGGATATATGGACCGGCCGAGCACGTGTTGCTACGTGGTGATTCTAAGTGTGGTTTTACATTCTTCGTCGGCATGGTTGTCCCGGATTGGTGGGGATAATGGTTCCGACATGTTCCGACTTGAGTGAGTTCTTGTGAGTCTTCCCTGATTGAGTATGAACTGCGTCACGACAAGAGCCACTCCCGGAGCCCCAGCAACAGGCAATTTAGGAATGACTCTGATTTGGATGTACCTGCAACTCACTTACATAGAAGTGGACAACGACCACCTTAAGCTGTCTCATCACAGGAAGCCGCAAGACATGGACGGAACCTGATTAGGAATCAAACGCTTTCCACCCCGTCTTCTTCGACCGAGGCTGGAAAATCGAATCACGGACACTTGGAAGGCGCTGCAGGCCCGGAGTCGCTGCGGGGTATGGAGGCAAGAAGCTGGTGGTTGAGGCCTTGGTCCTTGTGTTTGAGCGAGGTCCACCCAGAATGAGCAAAGGGAGTTATGTTTTTGTTTTGGTATTTTTATTTCTATTCTTAAGGGGCTCCATGGCATCATGACCTTGGTCTTTGGTGCCTATCCACACTGCTCCTGCTCCAGCACCGTGCAGGCTTTGCTGGCCTGATGAAGGCTGCTCGTGCGGAAGCATTTCTGTGGAAGACGGGCTGTGGAATGGTTGTCCCAAAGGCATCGAGGCCACTCGCGAAAACCACAGACGAGACTGAAAAGGTATAGGTATCTATAGTATAGGTGTCTGATCCTTTCACGTGAATGATGGTAACACTTTGTATATTACATAATATATAGTATAGTATATATATATATATGTTGTCTGAATTTCCAGACGATTCTTTGTAGTCTTGAGCCTATCAGAGTTCCACTTCCCGACCAAAACTATACTGATGCCAACATTGATGTTACTATTCTGTCAAATTTACTTTTCAGTGGCATTTCAATGCACAGAACTGTATGCAGTACATATAAATAGTTGTGGTTTCGAGATGGTTGTCCAAGGCAGAAAGGATGACCACAGCAGGGATGCGGCAAAAGATCCAGCTTGAACATTTCTGAGTAGGTCTGCCCATGGTTTTTGTTCAACCATGGGCAGCTGCCCACTGTCGTCCGAGTCATCCATAGCTCATCCCGTCTCCTGCGGGTCCTAGAGGAGTCGCTCGCCCGGACCAGAAGACTGGGCTCCCCTGGCTAGCGGCTAGCGCTGAGGTGGCAGCCTGCCTCCAGCGCCACGAAGTCCCACCGAACATTCACTTCCAGGAGCCACACGAGAAAAGAGACGAGCCGACGAACTCGGTGCAGCGACCTGACGCTGAAGGGGGAGACGTGCGTTAAGAAACTTGGTCCATGGATCTGTCTGGAAGAGACGACAGTGGTGGAGCTTGACTCATTCAGACGAGTGGGCGAACCTTTCTCGCTGGTTTGGCGTTTCGGTTTTCAAATCACCGTGAATCGAGCACTCCAGTAGACTCAGTGGATAATTAGTCTCGTGTTGAACAGGTGGAAGACACATGTCATCCCTTAGACACAGAGAAGGTAACCTCCTCTCCAGATTGTGGTCATTTTCAACTCATCACCATCCTTGTGCTTGAGGAAGTCGAGCTTCACTTGCACATCCTCGAAGTACAGTTGAAATCCAGTTCCTCCCCTCCCCCATCCAACCCCATGAGTGCTCTCTCCTTCACTGCACACGTTCAGATAGCTGGGAGACACGAAGACCTCTCGGCTGCAAACACCTCGTGCTGTGACGAGCCTCAAGTGTCAGGAGTTGAATCCACATATCTCCCTGAGCTCTTCGCGCTTGGAGATGCCCTTGAGTGTGTCGGAGTTGACGTCCTCTCAGGCGTGCCGTTTGTGCCACAGGGCGGCTGGCAACGGACAACTATGCTACTTTGGCTCTTGCCCTTTTCTCGAAGATGATGCAGTTGTCAATTAGGATCAAATATACCGGTCTCTCGCAAGAGCTCTTGGACGTCCCAACTATTCCCACCAAGAGCGTTGAAGGCATAGATAGGCATAGTGGCATTTGTGCACGCGTCCTTCATAAGCCAGTTCTCACTATTTTTGGAGTCCCGTTGCCTGTACTATCTGCCACAGGTGCCACTTTTCCCTGACACTCCGTTGAAGAAACCTGCGATTTGGCCTTCCAGCAAGTCGAGTTCCGCCAAGTCATTTGTTCTTTGATTCTTTGATAGAGACTCCAACGGACAAAGATCTCCAACGCCGCCACAGGCCCCGGCCATGGGCGTCTCTTCCTTCGGCTTCGGAGGCACCAACACCCACGCGCCCGGGCACCCGAGAATGACGGCGCTGCTTTTGGCATGGAAGAGACCCGAAATCAGTGACGGGCGGGGAGAACAGAAAATGGATGGGCAAAGGGAGTTTGCAAACGACTGGGTTCAGAGAACCTTTCTGAATTTAAGCAGCTCGAGCTGCGGACGAATACTCCTGTAGTTCTTGCCAGAAGAAGGGTACTGGAGAGAGAGATACAAACTGCAGTGTACATTTCTGAACTTTGTTCAAAGCCAAGCAAGGCTGGTGGTTTTGAGATCATCTTCTGCAGAAATGCTGCAGGTTGGCGCCCACATTTGATGTATGGATAGCCACTCTGGGACATCGTGTTTCCTGTTTATTTTACTCGTTTCCTGAAGAGCATTTGTGTTTGTCATCCTTGTTTCTTCTGCAGGGCAAAATACAAGAAACATGGTTTTCTGCTACCCAAAGCAGAGGCAGGGATTTCACTCTGTTCAAGAGGGATCCGCCCCTACAAAAAAGTTTGCTCTGTTACGCGTTTCAAACAGTGGCTCCGGTCCCCCCCTCGGTCGCCAGGTTGTTGATGTCCTCAAGGACCAAGGCAAGGGGACTGTTTGCAAGCTATGGACCCATTCCTGACCGATTCACATGTGGCCCATGGAACACTCGCATAGACCCTGAACATGATCCCCTGAAAGCCTTCGAGAAGCCGAAACCAGTGGCTTTGGTGATCGAAACACTCACTTTCACAACACCATCTAGCACGACGAACATGGCTCTACTGTGCCGGTTCATGCTGCGCTTTCATGATTGCCTATTTAAGGATTCAGAATTCCAGGATACCCGATATATATAATAATTGGTCAATCGTCATCGGAGCAATTCACCACCAGACTGTCTTCAGCTTGAGACTGAATGATGCCATGGCTATCTCTTTGAGGCTGTCTCTTTGTGCTGTACAAGAGGGATCAGCACATGGCTTCAAAAGAAGTTTCCCTTTGCCAGACATTGATATAGCTTTGTTTGCATAAAGACAGCGGGCAACCAAACACAATTGAGGCTGCGAATAGGATTGGCTTCAAGCACTTTTTTGGAAGACTGGGTAGACAAGGCCACTAGGTTGCCTTGCTACCGACTTCTTATATATTCTTTTCCCACATTCTTGGTCTCAGTCTCTCAGCTTCTGGTCATGAACGTTATCATAAATGATACACCATTTGGTCCCCATTCAAAAGGATTGTTTCCCGCTGTCCTATTCTGAGACAAAGCTGGACACCTCTTGGCCAGTATTAGAGGGGGCGACCCCGACCCGGACAGGAGGCACCGGTGGAGCCGGAGTACCCGAAGAAGGTTGCTTTCCTCTTCACAGGTGCGGGAGTGAAGGTGTGAGGCAGGTCAGGTGCTTTTTCCAAGATGGGTGCAGAGCCAGGAGCCCCTAGTAGCTTCTTGTTACTACTAGTAAGGCACTTGTTACTAGAAGCGATGCACTTGTTCCTAGTAGCGTCCTTGCTCCTAGTTGCGGGACAGGGTTTGCACTCTTCAGTTACCTATTCTGAGACCCCGTGCCACCAGTGAGCAAGCACAGAGTCATCGGTAAAAACGCTGTGGTTGACCATATTTCTTTTGACTTTTGTACAGTTGTGGGTTGAATGATGTTGAATGTCAGGACCCCTGATTCCCGTCCATTGCGCCTTTTGAGGAACCGCCGTGACAAGTCCAACAACCCTGAAGGTGATTGCTTACCTTGTTCCTAGTGGCTTCTTGTTACTACTAGTAAGGCACTTGTTACTAGTAGCGATGCACTTGTTCCTAGTAGCTTCCGGTGATTGGCTCAGAAATAGGTTCTCAATTAGGCAACCTGGAACTGCCTTCGACATGCAGTTTAGAGTGGATGGGAAGGTCACCATGGATTGTGCAGTTCATGAAGGTGGACAAACAGGACAAACATGGAAATGGACAGCGGCCCCACTGGAAGTCGGCTTCTATCTAGAAGCATGGGGTTGCAAGTCCAACTGCACACGTCCAGATTCAATGGACAATGGACAAATCTCATAGTTGACGTTGATGCAAAGCCAAGTGGGTCGATTCTACACACCCAAGTGGAATCAAAGTAACAAGGGCATCGGACGAATCATTCGGGTTTGTGATATTTGTGGACTAAGCCACCTCCGGACGGTCAGTGACCAGGCACGACTTTTTTGCTGTCTATTCGAGCGACAATTGAGCTGTGCTCGCTAGGCCAGGGCAGCCAGTTGCCAGAGATGGGCTTGAAACTTTACAAGTGCGACGTGCCTCGGCGAGCTTTCTCGTGCACTCGTCGTAGAAGGGCACAGCTCTAGTGATTTTCTACTTGGGGGCAGGCGTGTTGTAGATTGTAGAGGTCTTCCTTACTGCGCCTGCTAAAGCTGCCCGGCCCTCCTTTATCTTGCTCAGCAGTATTCCAGCTACTTTTGCACATGCTCAAACGCAAGAAGCCAGGTCTCATCAATGAAACTCTTTTACATTTCTCGCAGGTATTGTTTGGTCCAAGAGCGCCTCTTTTCCCGATCAACGATCAACATGGCCCCAAACAAAGATGGCTTTCATCAGGAAAGTCCATTCAACATTGGTCATAGACAAAGACCGCACCCTCTTCTGCCCGGAAACTAATAACCAAACGTCTGCCTGAAAGCCTGCACGACTCCAAAGTGAAGATGAAACCACCAACGCCTGTGAATCTGGAATGGTGTGAGTGCGGATTTCTTGGGACCTCTCGCGCGAACGGAACTACCCCAGTGCCGGTAGCAACACGTCCCTCCTGCAGCGCAATTTTTCGTTCGTGCCAAGGAAACGTTCAAGGCAGCCTTAGACCGCTGTGCCCAGCTGTTGGAGGGCCATCCCTTGTTGGAGCCCACCGGGGACCGGCTGGGTGGAGAGCTGGGGGACTTGGAGGTGGGCCGAGGGGTTTAGTAATGGATTTGTCTCAACAATAGGAAGGTCTTAGAGTCCAATACAAGGAGTGAATTTTTATGAAGGGGCCATGGGCCGGAGGATCCAGTCAATTTTGTTTAACATCCTTAATTGAGTGTCCTTGGATTTGCATCATGGATTGCTTTTTTTGCTTTTTCGTTTGTGCATACATCGCACTATGGAGCCAGGTGTGCATCTTCCAATGACTTGTCAATTTGGTTTTCGCGTTCTCCTCATTTTCCATGGTTTCGAGGCAACCTCCCCATAATATGGCCACTATCATCATTAGTTTTCCGATCTGATTGATTTAACTAACACCATGGTTGGATCGGACGATTTTCTATATACACCCTGGAGGTGTTCCAGGGTTCCATCATAGAGTTGTTCTACCAGACAATCTACAATTAAAGTGGATTCTCCTTCTCCTTACCAAAAACCTGGAGGTTTTCCATGGTTCTCCCACTTGGACTGATTCTTCCTATCGATAGCTTCGCGGCGCTCCTCCAGGACCTTCGAGACATTCTCTTTGCGGGTGGAGCAGAGGCCGCCTTGCGTTATGATCAGCTCGGGGCCCCACTGCTGTCGAGCGATGTGAGAGCGGTGGGGTGGCGGGAGCACGCGCCCATGTTGTGGAAGGGCTCCTATATGAGTCACTTGCAAAGAGGTAGGAAGGAGACTCTGTGGCATGTGTGGTCCATAAGAACAGCATGGTCAGGCCCGACTGTTTGTCCGAAGATTCTTTGCCAGAAATGGATTCCGGGGGCAGCGCCCAACTGCCGATTTTGTGGAGAACAGAACAATCAAGTGCAGTCGATGAATTCGCCGCGACCCGTGACAAGTCCATCGGCTTCTCCAAATTAAGGTCGACGTCTCTTTCACAGCTGGCCATTTTTGCCATTGAGTTTGCGCGCCTTGGCAATTGATCCGCAGGACAAGGGGCTTTTGGTTCTCTCTTGAGGTCAAAGAAGACAATGGACCTCTGAAGGACACTAGAATCCATGCAGCGGTCATTTTCTACTTTCACTTGCCTTTCGACCAACTGCCGATACCTGCTGCATGTAGTGCAGCTTGGCAGGAATCTGTATGAACTAAAACCAGACCCCGGTTATGTGTGTCTGAACTAAACAGTACTCAAACCCCTTGCTGGGCAATTTCGTAAGGGAGCGGCATCTTGTATATATTAGGGTTTTCTATGGTTTTCTTCCTTTCTGGATATTTTTTCAGTTTTGTTGTCGCTTTTCCTTCGCTGTTTTTTCACCTTTGTCGCTTTGTTGCTTTTTTGCTTTTGTGAACTTTCATTGTTTCTTTTGGTTTGCGTTTGGTGCTTGCTTGCTTGCTTGCTTGCTTCCTTGCTTCCTTGCTTCCTTGCTTCCTTGCTTCCTTGCTT